GCAATATTTGTCCTCCTCTGTCTGGCTTATTGCACTTAGCATAATGTTTTCAAGGTCCATCCATATTGTAGCATATATCAGAAGTTCATTCAGTTTTATACCCAAATAATATTCTATTTTAAGTATATACCACATTTTGTTTATCCATTCATCTCTTGATCAAAACTTGGGTTATTTCTATCTTTTAGTTATTGTGAAAAATGCAGCAGCGAACACTCGTGTACAAGTATCTGCTTGAGTCCCTGTTTTCAGTTCTTTTGGGTATATACCTAGAAGTGGAACTTCTGGGTCATATGGTAATTTTATGTTTAACTTTCTGAGGGACCACTAAACTGTTTCCCACAGTGGCTGCACCACTTTACATTTCCACCAGCCATGTATGAGGATTCCAATTTCTGCAAATTGTCAACAACACTTATTTTCCATTTTTTCCATTATAGCCATCCTAATAGGTATGTGAAGTATCAATCTTGATTTGCATTTCCCTAAAGACTAATGATGTTGAGCATCTTTTCATGTGCTTATTCAGCTGCCTACTTTTCTAAATAAATGTTTATTGGAACATAGCCTCACCTGTTTGTTTACCTATTGTTGATGGTTGCCTTCATCCTGTAACAGCAGAACTGAGTAGTCAAAAAGACTAAATGGCTACAAGTGTAAATGTTTAATTAATACCTCACCCATTAAGAAAAAGTCTGCTGACTCCCATGTTAGACCATAAAAAAGCCTCAATATGTTTTAAAAACATTGGAATCATTCAAAGGATAGTCTTTGTCCAAAACATAATCAGATTAGAAATTATCACAAAGAAATATGGGAAATCTAAAATATTTAGAAGTTTGGAATAATTTAGAAATTAAACAACATACTATTTCTAAATAACCCATGGGTCAAAGAAGAAATCACATGGGGAAATTAGATAATATTTCTAACTAAATGAAAACAAAAACACAACATATCAAAATTTATGGAATGTAGCTAAACCAATGCTTAAAGGTTAAAGACTGACGCTTCTACCCAATGATTAGGAAATAAGACAAGGATGTCCACTCTTGTCACTTTTATTCAGTATCATCCTGGAGGTTCTAGCCAGAGCAATAAGGCAAGAAAAATAAGTTAAAGGCATACAGATTGGAAAGGAAAAAGTAAGTCTTTCTTTATTTACAGATAATATCATAAGAAATCTACAAATAAAACCTCATGGGATAAATGAATTTTACAACATTGCAAGATACAGCTCATTATTTAATTATTAGTTGTATTTCTATATACAAGCAGTGAACAACCCAAAAATAAAATTAAGAAATCCAATTTTTTTCATAATAATATTTAGCAATACATTTAACAAAAGAAGTACAGTATATCTGGATACTAAAATCTATAGAGCATAGCTAAGAGAAATTAAAGAAAATCTAAATAAATGGAGAGAGATTCAAATGTTTTAAAACCAGATTATGAGGGGCCGGCTCCGTGGGCCAGTGGTTAAGTTCCTGCTCTCTGCTTTGGCAGCCCAGGGTTTCGCTGGTTCGGATCCTGGGCGTGGACATGGCACCGCTCATCAAGCCATGCTGAGGCGGTGTCCCACATAGCACAACCAGAGGCACTCACAACTAGAATCTACAACTATGGACCGGGGGGCTTTGGGCAGGAGGACAAGAAGAAGAAGAAGAAGAAGAAGAGGAAAAAGATTGGAAACAGATGTTAGCTCAGGTGCCAATCTTTAAAAAAAAATGCTTAAAAAAAAAAGATTATGAGATGGTGGCACAAGTCCATAATTTAATAAAAATCACTAAAGTGTAGACTTACAGTTGGTGGATTTTATGGTATGTAAATCTTACTTCAAAGAAACTGTTTTTTAAAAAAGAATTGGTTTTTAAAATGACCTTTCTAGATACAGGTGCTAGGATGCATTTGTGGCAGGAAGTCACATTTTATGTTTGCACTTTTGAAATAAAAACTGTTGAAGTAAATATGAGGGTTTATTAAAACCAAGATATTTTTAGTTTCCTTATTCAGGTTCTAACTCTTAAATTAAACTGCTAAACATTCATCATTATAGATTTCAATTTCTAAACCTTCACAAATACAGTTGTTTGTGTCCACAGTCTAAAAAAAATTTGGAATGTGTATTTTGTCAGTGTTATTTGTTAAAACTATTATATGTTGTGTTGTTTACCATCAGGAGGAGAAAACAGGGTGTTGTGGAGGAAAAGGAAGTCAAAAGCTGTGGTTCTCTATAGGTTACAATTATTTCAATAATTGGCAGGGCAATAGAGCAGTTATGTTGATAAATTTTCTCCATTAGATGGAAGTTGGCAATTAGCAGATTTTCCACAGGAAGAGACTCTAAAATTGCTAGTCTTCTCAGTGTGAGAAATTCACACATCACATAATCCCTCTCTTAAATATCTTTCTCTTAGGTGGGGAAGTTCCCTGTGAAGCAGCATCTGTTAATTTTATATTTTTTAGAAATATGAATTAACTTTTTCTTATTTTTGGTTCCTGTGGAGAATGAAGTTTGATTTTGTTTTTAGAAGTAAGAGAAATAATAAAGCAACTTTTGTTCGGTACCTGTTGACCGTCTGACCTTGTGTCTTTGAAGTCCATGCATATAATTATTTCCGGGGAAATTTTAAAGTGGTGTTCATTTTGTTTTCCTGTCATCTTTGAAAAGGTCTTTAATGCTCCATAGTGCCTCACACACTGACAACAATAAGAGGGGCAATTACCACCAGGCCTCTGAGAAGGGCTCAGGACCCAACCCAGGTTCTAACTTCTGGACATTGATCTGGACTCTCATGGGCAATTCCATTCTCTGCCACATAGCAGCTAAGTCCACGACCCTTGCTCCCACCTCCATCTTGGTCTTAGGTAGGAATCCAGGCAACTGACAAAGATATTTGGCCTGGAGTATTTCCTAGTAGCAAGTGATCAGGTGGACAGACCTGTTACAATAATAACTTTTTCAGGGAAGAGAGTGGCAGCTAGTGCTGCCAGATGGCAAAGGGATCCCTAGATCAGAGATCTTAGCATCTAGAGCAGGAAGGGGTTAGATACCATTTAGCTCGAAGCCAGTCATTTTACATAAGAGAAAACTGAAACTCAGGAAATTGAACAGACTTACCCCAGCGGTAGCAGAAACTGCTACCCAATGTGTCTCACTTTCTTCCTTACTAACAAATCCTTGATTTTGTTTAGAGTGGCAATGTTCCCAGAGTAGAGTACTCACCCTCTCCACCTCCCTTGCAGTTAGGGGTGGAGGTCTGACCCAGTGCTCACCAGGGAGACGTATGTGGTCCTCATGGATGGGATTTGGGGAAAAGCTATTTAAGCGGAAGCACTTGGCTTGTACACACCTTTGTGTCCACTTTGCTCCTTCCTGCATGTAATGCAGACGTAAGATTGGTTGTCCAGCTGTAACACTGTGATTTTTATCATGTTCCAGAATCCAATCTGGGCTTGAAAAACTTTCACTTTTAGAGCAATACCTCTTTCTGGTAATCTGTCAAGTATTGCTAATATTAGGGAGGAGTCCATTCATGGATGCTACAGACCTTATGTGAAATCTACTAGTTTTCCTTACAGAAGCAAAGAGCAGGCAGGAGCTTTTACAGAACTTGAAAAGGACAAAAAGCTTCTAAGCAAGAAGCATTCTGATTGTGTCTTACCTCTTAGTGAGCCCCAACTGTGAACACAGCACATTAATTTGCTGCTTGCTTTAAGAGGCTATCAGCACCACCCCACGGAGGAATGTAATACATTGAAGGAGCAAAGTTTGGGTAGAAGAAAGTCAAGGACCAATACTATTGGAGCTTTAAGGAGAGGTGTGTAGGAAAGAAAGAAAGAGAGAAAGAAATTGTTGCATGTGTTTAGTTTTCTGGGCCAGAGGGGAGAAATTAGAAAATGACCAAAAGAAGGGGCAAACAAGAAAACCCCTGTGTCTCAAAAAACCTCCAACACTCCTGTGCACCTGCAAAATGGGTCATTTCCACACATCACCCTGTCCGCTGATGCTCAGCCCAGTGCAAAGTCTGCCAACCTGCTGAAGGAAAGCAGTTTCACTCCTGTAGTAAATCTTATATTTGTGTCGAATCTAATTATCTCTGGCCCTTGTCACTTTCCTCCTTTTCAAGAAAGATAAGAGGCTGCCTAGAGTGGAGTAATATACCAGGATTGACTTTGGTCAGCCAAGTCTTCTTTTCAAGAGAAGCAAAGATTGTCAGGTGTGAATGAAGCAGCGAGAAGACTGAGAGGCCATTTCATCCGCAGCCTCCTAGGGGGGCTGCCACTTTAAAAAGAAGTATAAAATGTGAGAAACATGCACTGAATGTTGAACTCAATCAATGAAACGAATTGGAATAGTGAGTTAGTCATAACCAAGAGTGAGAGTGTTCAGGACGTTGCTTAGGGGAATGCCTCTTTTTGTTTGTTTTTAATTAAAGGAAAGTTGAGTATCAAGAGGATATAGAGATACAATCGACCTTACACTCTTAGAGTGTTTAAAATACAATCCTCGTATTTGTTCTCATCTCAGAAGCGCTAGGCTTGGTCTTTGTTACCTATTGGATTTCAGGAAGGCTGACTTGACATGCGGCGTTGCCATTTCCTGGGCCCTCACTTATTTTTTTTCCAGCGCTGGCAGCCAGATCCTTTGTTGTGTCTCCTCTGCATTCATTCTCTCTGCCCTCGCACCTCCAGACAGTGTGATGGGGATCTTTCCTGGTCCTCGCGCTGAGAGCTCCGGACGGCCACCTTCCCCGGCATCGGAGAAGGGACCACTTTAACCCTCCAGGGGTGTCGGGGCTGGGTCCGCGCCACGCCGGAGACGGACCGGCTTTTGTGTCGGTGTTTGTCTCCGCAGCCGTCCGACCCCGGGCGGGAGGCGCGGGCCGCGACCCCCGAGGAGGCGGGGCCTCCGCGCCCGGCTCCGCCTGGCGAGGGTTTCACGGCCGCCGCCGCCCGCGTTTGTTCCGTTACCTCGCCCTGCCCGGACCACCTCTCCCGGAGCCAAGTACACCGGACGCGGCTGCCCAGGAGGTCTTTATGGCCTTCATCCCACCCAACCCTGCTTTTTGCTTTTTTCCCCGCTTTCTCACTTTTCCTTGTTAACAACATAGTGGCGGGGCGCTTGGCAAGGAAAAACAGACTAAAAAGAGAAAAAGGGAGAAAAAAAGAACAAATTCGATGCACCCGCCTCGGCCCTCCGGAGTTTGTGAAGGGTCGTAACCATGTCTGAATCGGGGGAGATAAGTGAATTTGGCTACATCATGGAATTGCTAGCCAGAGGCAAGGTAAGTGCCGGGGCGCGCGGTGCCGCGGCCGGGGCCCCCACCCCTGGCTCTACCTGGCCCGGAGCTGTGCGCGTCCCGGTCCCTTCCAGCGCCCGAGGAGGGCGGGGCTGGAATCCCGGGTCCGCGCGCTCGGCCCGGGCGTCCGGGCAGCTGCAGAATGCAAAGTAGCCGCCTTTTCTTTATTGCGCGGCATCTCTGAAATGAGCCAAGGGCGACTTGGCCAGCTGGGCGACGGCGGGAGCTCCCGGGACGGCGAGGGGCGAAAGCTCAGCACGCGAAGATGGGGAGGACGGTCGGGCGTTGGCCGAGGGAGGCGCTCTTCGACGCGCCCAGGGCTGCCCAAGGGTGGTGACTTCGAGCGGGTGACCTCGTCTGTCCAGGCGCGGAGCTCGGAGGGAGGGTCCGAGCAGCGGCTGCATAGCCCCGGAGGGCACGATCGGGTTCAGCGCGCAGTCCGACCATGTTGGTCTGTAAATAGGAGCAGAACTTGCGACCGCCCTGCCTTGGCGTTTTTAAACCTCCTCTTAGGTCCTTAGCCGCTGCCCCAGGCCGGGAGCATTTCAAACACCTTCTCTTGGTGGGGAGGGGGAAATGCTAAGGAGCCTTATTTTAGCCCGGCACCTGTCCCGGAGCCCTTAGAAGACCCGGGTTGGCGCTGTCGGTGGCGCCTGGCGACCACGCCCTCAGCCGGGCCGGGTGGCGCCGCGCCTGGGCAGAAAGCCTTGCGGGGAGGCTGGTCTCCGCGCTGCATCCGAGAAAGTGCCCAGGGGGGCTCCTAAGTGGTTTGCAGGCGGAAGGTGTCGGGAAATGCAAAGGCTGCACGGTGCGCGGTCCGCCGGGATTCGCAGGCGGCGAGAAAGCGAGAAACGGAGTCTGCATTTGCCGTCGGCACCTGGACTTTCGAGAAGAGGTGATGGCGCCGAGAAGAAAAGGACTCTGTGCGCGGTCATCGGCAAGGAGAGGATGATTCTGCAGCCCTGGTATGAGCCCCTGAAGCTTCAGTCTGATACCTCACTAACCCCAACTCCGCGGATGTAGAGCTTGGAGTGGTTTCAGCTTCAGGCCACCAGTCTCGGGGCTCCCGGGTTGGGGAGCCGGTTTAAGGCGCTCCCAGCCGAGCGTCCCAGCCAACCCTGCGCCTCCTGAATTCTCTGTTCTGCAAACACGGAATACACTCATTTGAAATAGAATGCGTACTTATTAACAAAACCCGTACCATTTATAGCCCGGGACTAGAAGTACAAATGGAGGACCCTCGTTCCGGATTTCTTCCTACCCGGAGCTGCATCCTGAACTTCGGGGAGCCCTCGCGCATGCGTGGGGACAGCCTGGGCAGTACATCCAAGCTCCTTGTCGACCCAAGCAGCCTCCTCTTGGCCACCCCCAGGGCCAAGGGTGCGTACCACAGCCCGCTCCACCCTCTGGGGGACCGTCCCTGGGGAGAGGAGAAGTCCAGAAGGAAGTATGGCTCTGAGCGAGGAAGCTTGCAGTCAGAGGGCCAGGTTCTCTAAAGCACACAGCAGGACCTTGGCTGCCCAGGAACTCGGCGGCGGGCAGGGCCGAGGAGAAAAGAGGATGCCTTTTATTGACTACAAAATAAATGACCATTTTTGATGGGATCCGGAATAGGATGATTGAGAGGTGAGTTTAGGCCTGTGGTGATCAGAATTTCCTCAAAATAAGACAGAATTGTATTAGTGGGCTAATGCTTTCCTTCAGCAGTAAGCAAAACTTGAAATTCTGAGAGACTAGTTCTGGGGTGGGACCCAGGGATCTGCATGTTGACTCCCCAGGTGATTCTGAAACAGACAGGTGAACTTCCCATAAACATTAAATGGTCAAGTAGGGAGAAACCATGAGTGAACCCTTAAAACTTCTTATAATAAAGTCAGGTAAACAAAAATAAACCTCTCAGAATCAGCAGTGTGTTCACAACATGCTCACTGTAATGAAACAACAAAACCAAAATAACCTTCTGGCTTCATCCTCTGAATTTCTCTGCCTCCTTCTCAGCTGGACAGACCTCTTCACTAGGCTTCAGCCATGGGCCTGGCCCAAACACGAGAGCATTCTCAGCTGACTTCCCAAGTTAGAGAGCCAGGTGTCCTTATGAAATCTCAGGTTGGAAAACAGGCTCTCACAATAAGAACGCAGGGTGGTTCCCTCTGTGCCCTTTTTTGGCGAGGTTGGGGTGGGGGGCGGTGAGGGTGTCCTGAGTAGCCTGCTAATCATTTCAACTCAAGCTTATTCCCTGCCCTCTTTCCTCATACCCCACCCCAGTCCAACTCCATGTAAAACCCTCCTTATGTGTGTGTGATACAGGATTTGAACACTGAATAACTGAGTGTTAGCCATGGAGTCGCAGACCTTTGAGATTGACTTGCCTTATTTTCCTTTGAGGAGTTAGGTTCCACTTTGCAGTGTGGGTTTGTAATGTAAAGAATAATGTGAAAGTGGTCTAATTACACCAAGTTCATGGAGTTCAAGGAGAGCAGAGGCCCTAGTCTTCCTGTCCGCTTCCCTTTCCTTCCTTCAAAGCTGAGACTAGTGGGTTGACCATCGTCATAATTTTTTTCACTTTTTCTGATGCTTTTAAAATTTTACAAAATTAATGCGTTTGTTGCAGAATATTCAAACGCTATAGAAAGTTTTACAGAGTAAAAAGTGGAACTTCACTCCCACCTCCAATCCATTGCCTTCCCCAGGGCAGCAGTTTTTTGCGTGTTTATTTGGAATTAAATTAGCTTATTGTGTGTTCTCTGAATGTGGCAGGTGAGCCTTTCATCTTGGGGTAACCTAAAACTTGCATGACAAACTTGATCAGCTTGTTTTACTCTGTTGTGATGATCACTTTAATATTTAAAGCACACAGTGATCTCTACCATTGTGGTCTTTCTGCTCATCAAATAATTCCCCATAAATACAGTTAATATCTATGATTAATATCAAGAGGTTTAAAAATCAATATAAATGGACTCCCTTATATTTCACTATCAAGAGAAATTTGTATCATTCCTGAAAGCTGCTTTTTATTTCTTTATTTTTAAATTTTTTTTATTTTTCCTTTTTCTCCCAAAGCCCCCCAGTACATAGTTGTGTATTTTTAGTTGTGGGTCCTTCTAGTTGTGCCATGTGGGATGTCACCTCAGCATGGCTTAATGAGTAGTGCCATGTCTGCGCCCACGATTCAAACTGGCGAAAACCTGGACTGCTGGAGCAGAGCACACGAACTTAACCACTGGGCCATGGGGCTGGCCCCTTTTTGTTTCTTTTGTAACTCATCTCTTTGGACGGAAAGAGAGCTTTCCAAATCTGTGGTCAATTTCTAGGATTGCTCAAAGCAGTATTTTCAAACTATTTTGGTCTCTAGAAAGATTTGCCTCATTGATTTTTTATCTTCATACACCTTTTCCCTTCACACCATCACACACTCTTCTGGAGTTGATACTGAACCTCTTCATCTCAAGGTCATGTGCCCGATGCACAGTAAGCCAGTCACTGAGACATCAGTGCTTGGAGATGGAGAAAGGTTTATTCCAATTGGACAAAATGAGAAGGTGAGATAGGATAGGTTCTCTCAAATTTGCCTTAACAAGAGAAGAAAGCAGGGGAGTTTATAGAGCTAAGGGGCTTGGCAGGAGGGGTTTTGGAGAAACAAAGGGGTGATCTGTGTTTCTTTCACTCCAGATAAGGACAGTTTGACTTCCAGGTGTCCATTGTGGCTGGGGGCTGGTTATCTGGTGATCCTAACTTCCTTGAAGGCATTCTTCTGCAAAACAAGCTCAAATCCTTGTGACCATTGAGTCATCCCTCGGGTTAAAAGAGAAGACAACAAATTAACAAGGTTAACTTCTTTTCCTCTATATCTGTTTTGGGAATAAGGTTGAAAGGTAATCATGTTCTTATTGAGTATTTACAGTAACCTTCAGGTTCCTGGCTTCAGCATCATATCATGAAGACCTGATGACAAGGAACATAGAAAAATTTAGAATTTAAATTTAGTATACCTCTTCATATTTAGAGTATTTAACATATTTACATTTATGTATAAATAGCTAGACACTAATTCTTGTTTCTCATAGTTCAATAGTTACTGTTCAGGAACTTCCATGGAGTATAATAGTTTAAGCAAAATGAAAGGGGCTTTTGGGGGGCTGGCCTGGTGATGTAGCCATTAAGTTCATGTGCTCTGCTTTGGCGACTGGGGGTTCGCAGGTTCTGATCCAGGTGCAGACCTAGCACCGCGTGTCAAGCCATGCTATGGCAGGCATCCCACATATAAAGTAGAGGAAGATGGGCACTGATGTTAGCTCAGGGCCAGTCTTCTTCAGCAAAAAGAGGAGGATTGGCAGCAGATGTTAACTCAAGGCTAATCTTCCTCAAAAAAAAATATCATTTTTTAAATAAATAAATAAATAAAAATTTTGATAAATAAATACAATATTTATTTTTAAATAAAATATTTATCTTTTAAATAAATACAATTTTTTAAAATAAATATTATTAAATAAATAAAAAGAAAGAGGCTTTGGAAAGCCTACGTTTAATTTTGATAGAGAAACAGGCAATGATTCCATTATTTGGTGAATTATTACTTTTAACTTTGAGGCACAAAAAATTCAAGAACTTTTATAAACACAAGATTTCCTGTAAGACAAGAAGATACTTATACTCTGCAAGAATTAAGTTTAGAAAATCCTCAAATCTAGACTAATGTAAAGTCTTAAGCATCTCCTGAGAGCTAAACTAGAATACCACCAAATGAGCTGTTTCAGAAGGCTCAATAGGTAGTTGCTCACACGACTGAAATCTAAAATGGGTGAAAATACCAAGGTTGTGTCCACTGCAAAGTATTCTTTAAAATTTTTTTATATCTTGGAATTGAGTAAAATGTGCCTGTTGTGGGAATAGGGAAGGCAAACAGAAGATTTAGAATTTAGCAATATCATTTGAAAACAGCTAATGTCATAAATATCATTATAATTTTCCTCTGTTTTTACTACATTGTTCAAAAGATGATTTGAAAAAAAAGTATCTTTTAAACTACTTTGTCAAAGAATGTTTAAATCGTATCTTTTATGAAATTGTAAGTTGCCTGTTTTATTCTTACCTGTGGCCGTGCAATAGGGATGCTGGAAGGAGACCCCGGTTTGAATCCTGGCTCTTGGTGTTGAGCCATGTGACCTTGAGGGTAGTACTTAATCTCTGGGTGGAGGTAGGGAGGGTTTGTGGTTGTTACCTGTCCCCTCTGAAAAGATCATACTTGTTTCACAGGGTTATTGAAAGGATTCATGAATATTTTATGCAAATTCCTAATACAGTTATTGGCACATAGTAGGCGCTTAATAAATGAAAGCTATTATATCTAGCTACTATGACAACAGGCTTGGGTCTTGAGACACATATTTAAACTGTGATCATTAACAAGGGATGTAGAGTTGTCAGATGAAATATAGGATATAGAATTAAATTTGAATTTCAGGTAAACAACAAATAATTTTTTTGGTATAAGTATGTCCCATTCAATATTTGGGGCATGCTCATACTAAAAAACTTTCATTGTGTATCTGAAATTCAGATTTAACAGGGTGTCCTCGGTTTTTATTTACTATACCTAGAAACCCTAAGTGTAGGAATAATAAGATGTGGTCAAAGGGGACCTGCTAACAACCTCTAAATATTACCAATATTGTTCACCTCAGCTTGGCTTAGAGACCTCTGCCCACCAGGACACTCCTGCCATTAACGGAAAAATGTCTGGCAGAGCACCAATGTGTTCCTCTATCAGATTTCAGATTGCTGGTCTGGTGCTACCATTAGTAGATAAATGCCTACTGGATTTTCTTTTAAAACAAATAAAAGCTTAAGTGAATGGGAAGATAAGGCTTAGAAAACATTAAACATGAGTGTAAGAAATGAGAGTATATGATCGTGTTAAACTGAGCGATAATAAGTGCTAAAGGAGTTCAAAGTAAGGGGAGCTGATCAGTGAAAACTAGACTAATGAGGAAGAGGCTCTAGGTCTGCTCTTGAAAGATGAGTAGGATTTGGCTAGGTAATGGAAACCTGAACTTTCTGGCCTGCTCCACTCCTCTCCCCTGAGGTCGTTCCCATAGAAACACTTTATGACATGTTAGCTTGGCCTGTCAGAGGCTTGGGTCAATAATTGATAAATGCCATTCATTGTCCCTTCACCTGTAACCTCCTGATAGCCAACAGCATAGAGAGTGCGTGTGCCAGTCCACTGTGAAACCCTGTGATTTACTTGATTGCCCTTCATTTATTTCTCCTACGTCCGGGGGCTCTCTTAATTTTGTACCCAGGTGGTTCAATGGCTAGGAGTTCCCCACAGGGGGCAAGATTTAGGAGTATGTAGCCATATCACCTTTTTGCTACTTCTTGTTCAGGACATGCTAACAGAATGGTACCCTGGCCGTTTCGTCTCAGACCGAACAGATTAAGAGAGAGCGGTGCCTCACAGCACTGACTGAAATATGCACCGTGGTCATTAGGACCTGACTCGGCCAGGAATTTAATCTCTTGGGGTATTAGGAGTCAGTAAGGAAAGAGACTAGGTCAGGTTAGTGGGTAGTGTATAGCCTAAAAGGTCACAGGTTTATATTTTAAATGTCAGGTAATGAACATTTATTGAGCCTCTATTTTACTAAACCTGAGTGGTGTGTATGTGTGTGTGTGGGGCCGGGAGGGGGAGTGGTGGTTGTCAGTAGGTGAAGTTGGAGAAAATTGATGACATCCTTCCCTGACCTTTTGGACTTCATGAAGTAGATAGATGTGAGATAGCTCCTGCCTCTGTGATATTAATTAAGCAATTAAGCAACACCAACAAGTGCAAGATAAGATCTCATAATGTAGGCAAGAGACTAAAGGTCTGTGGACTTGGGGTGATAAGTGTGGAACAGGCTTCCTTGTGTTGAATTTTGACCTGTATTTTAAAAGAAAGTATTGGAAAAGGAGGTGCTAGGATACTTCAAACTGGAAGGGGTAGGCACCAAGGGATACCATATGCGATGAAAATTGGGAGAATAATTTAAAAAACAAAACAAAACAGATTTCCCACTTAAAAGCCTTCAAAGCTCCCCAGTGTCTACAGAAAAGATGCATTGTATTCCAGACCCTCCATCCTGTACCAGACTCATTTTGTGTTATTGCAAGTTTACCACCCCTGCTATAATCCCTGCCCCCCATCATTCAGATGCGTTCACATGCACATACATCCCCTCCCAGTTGTATTCCTACACTAAGCTTCTTGTGGTCCAGGGCCATAGCTCATTCTGCCCCTGTGCAAATGGAGCTGTAAGGCCAGTGATACACACATGGAAAGTCATCTGTAAATACCTAATTGATAGGCTGTTATGGTAATCTAGGCATGGGGAGGGCAGGCTCAGGGTGGGCAGAGGAATTAGTTGTGAGGATGAGAAGGGACAAGATCTGACAAGAAGAAACAAGAGGATTTGAAGGCTGACCAGAGCTACAGGGGGAAGGAGAGAGAAGGATTAAAAGAACCCACAGGATTTTAACATAAGGAACTGGGAATATGTTTGGCATCTTTCATAACTGGGAGGCTGGGATGTATGGGTGTTGAGAGAAATTGATGAGATGACCCAAAGCATGGCAGCCAAGGAGGACAGGAAAGACTAGGGAAGTGGGAGAGCCGGGGTGTAAATGGTGGTTTTCATGTTTGCTCTCTTCTTACCAATAATCCCCCTCCTCCCTTTTTGCCTTTAAAAGTTTATGAGTTAATACTTTAAATAAATATAGATTAAAATGTTCAAGGATTAAATTACATTAAAAAGGTTCTAGAAGTAAAACATGCACATATTATAAAAGTGCAGACAATGCAATACAATGTGAGTGAAAAGTGTCTTCCACCCCTGACTCCCTCCCCTGCTTCTCCACAATAGTTACCCTTTTTGTGCTCTATTTCAGAGATGTACTTTTATTTACTTATTTGCCTATATAAGCATACATGCCTGTCTCATCTTTTTTGCTAAAGTAGCAACATACAGAATCCATATGCTTTTGTACTTTAATACTATATTGTAGAAATCCTTTCTCACACTACAGTCATATTAAGAGCTGCATAGTATTCCATGGTCTTGCCCTATATTATGGATGAGAGATATTTAGTTTCTACAAATAAGGTCCCAGTAGATCTTTGTACACATGTTTTTGTGCATGCATAGTAGTCTTTCAGTTGGAAAATCCTTAGAAGTGGAATTGCTTAGTCAAAGGTATAAGCATTTACAATTTTTAATAGGATTTGCAAAATTTCCCTTCAAATAAACTGAACCAAGCTAGTGTCACAAAAAAGTTTGGAAGTGCCTACTTCCCCACATTCTTGCCAAGAGTGTGAACATCATTTTTGAACTTTGAGAATCTCATTGAAGTTTGATTGCATAATGGAAAGGCTTTCAAATGTATTTCCAGCCAAATATTGTCTGTACAAGTTTTATCTTTAGTTCATGTTAATGAAGCCTAATCTTTTTTACTCTGTTTAACTAGGAGTTAGTTTTGGACCAAAGCTCTATTTAAGTGTGCTCATGTGAGATTACAGCCAGACGGGAATTATTTAACCCAAAGACCAGTATTAAAAACGGAAACTGATTTATAATGCCTTTTTAATGGTTGAGGCTTTCAAACGCTATATGGGAACATGTAGTACATGATATAGGTGACTAAATTACGCAGGCGTTTATTTTCCTCATTTCCCTCCTGATTAGGATGCTTCAGAACCTGTGGGAAGCAGCCTCCACACCAGCACGTGAGGCCACGGAACGGGCATTAATCCAGATCAGAATAGTCCAGTCATTACTTGGCAAGGTGTTCATCCTCTCTGCACCTCATCTGTAAAGTGAGGGTATTCCATTAAAGACGATTGCTATGGTTTCTTGCTGTTCCTAATTCTACCTTGCTACACCGTGATTTAATTGCCTGACTGGAGAAAAGGCTACCACTGCTGAAAGAGTTGTGGGAAGACGGCAGAACTTTCCACAGCGAGAGACTTCTCCCAAGTGGGAAATAAAAGTGGGAAGCATTTCAAAACCTAAACAGAATATCGCGCTATAGCTCCTTGGTCCCTTCACCAGCTGTTTAAAGCGCTTGTTTTCTCAGTCTATACGTAAGGGTGGAATTATTTAGCCAGCCGGGAAGGCAGTGGCATGATCTAATAATACAGCTTCCAACAATCCCAGATTAATTTGTTTTCCGTTTGCCTTGAAAACAAGACAAGAAACGCGCTTGAGCCGTGGCAGGTGAATTTTACGCTGCTAGCCCCTGAGCGGGCGAGCGCGCGCCTTAGCACTCGGACGGGCACCCACCGGGTGGGTGCATGGGTGCCGGAGCACCCCAGGAGCAGCCGTCCCGATTTCCCTGCGCCTTCCATCCCCAGGGGGGACACCGCAGAGCGGCTGCCCGGGCGGGGGAGGGCGCTCCCTTGCCGCCGTCTCTTGAATTCAATTCCTAGCCAGCACCCGGGAGAGGGGTCCTACCCCGCGCCTCGTGGCAAGAACGTGTCGTGCGTGACAGCGCCGCGCGCTGGTGTGTAAAAGCAGAAGCAGAAAGCAGCATATGAGTGGTTGGTGACCAGTAGGGGAATGTGAAGTTCCCCCAAAGAATTGGGCCAGAAGAAGAGGAAGAGCCAGGCAGGGACAGCGACTCATCAGGGGAACCCCCAGCCCCAGAAGGGGTGGGGTGGGCGGGCTCTCACTCTGGTCGCCTCCCCAGCGCGCGGCTCTGCGGTGCTCTGTGCGACCGCACTGGGAAGGCGGCTTGGTCCCGCCCTCGGCCCCACCGCCCCGTCCAGAGTCAGAAAATGGGCTTGTCAGTGATGCCTCGCACCGCGCTCTGCCACCGCGCAGGGCAAACAAAATCAAGAGCAGATGGGCTGCGCGGGGTTGGGGGCCAGGGCTGCAGCCTGGGTCAGCGCGGCCGGAGGGCTCCACCCCGGCCCCGCCCCGGCCTCCGCCGCCCCCGCCGCCCCCGCCGGGCCCTCACTTCCGCCCCTCAGAGCCTTCCTACCCCGGCAGGGGGCGACCGCGACCACCCGGCGAGGGGTGAGCGGCGGAAGGGGGGCGACCCCACCCCGCGCCACACCCCCGCCCAGCCGCACAGTCGCGGGGTAGCCAGCCGCCCGCAGCCCCTCCTCCTTTGTGCGGTGGGCGCTGTTGCCCGGGCGACGGTGGCGCCCCGCCCTGGCCCCGCCCCCCGAGGCGCCCCATCCTGGTCCCGGCGCTGCCGCCCGCCCCGCCGCAGTCCGCAGGAGCCGCCGCCGCTGCCGGCCGCGGGGCGGCATTCTGGGGCCGTCGCAGGGAGCAGAGCTCGGCTCTCCGCGCCTGTGCGTTCGCCCGCCCTGGCCTGCCCCTCGCCGCGTCGGTCGGCTGGCCGAGTCCAGCTGACCAGCTCGCCCTCCGGCTCCGAGCCGAGGCTCCACGGCCGCCGCAGGGAGCCGCCCACCAGCCCCTGCCCGGCGCCGCCCGTCTGCCAGTTTGGACCCTGCCGTTGATGACACCTGGCAGAAGGCTACCATGGAGGGGGATGGTTCAGACTCGCTGGTGAGCGGGGGAGAGGGGCGGCCGCTCGACGCCTCGATGGCGGCGCGCCGGGGCTCCTGGGCTTCTCTCTTCCCTCCGCCGTGAGCCGGGAGGGAGCCTCTGCTCCGGAGGAGCCGGGTCGGCCGTGTGATGGCCCCGTTTCCTCTTCGCCTTCCCCGCCCCGGGCTGGTTCCGCAAGCCGGGGCGCCCTCTTTCTGCCCCTCGGAGGGTCGGACTCGGGGTCCCCTGGGCCCGGAAGAGGGCGCCGCTCGGGTGCGGTGATCACCCACCTGAGCACCTCGGGGAGGTCGGGCGGGGGTCTTTAATGGGGTTCGGTCTGTATAATTAACTCGCTCGCGGGGGTCGGGTGCCAGTCGCGGCCAGGGGCGCGTGCCTCGCGCGTGCCCGGCCCCCCATTGTCTGGGAGCGCCGTGGGGCCGGCGCTCGGGTCCCCGCCGGCCCGGCTTGGCTCGCCGTCGCAGCCAGCGGAGCTCCTCCCCGCCGCGTCTGCTCGCGGGAGGCGGGCTGGCGCCGGCAGCTGTCGGGGTGCAAGGGTTGTTGTTTGAAGCGGTCGAATATGCAATTCCTCGAACATGTTAGTTTCCCGTCGAACCTCATTAATTTCGAAACAGCTTAATTGTGGGAGCCACCACGTCCACATTCTCTTCATCAGAATGTTTCCTCTCAGTGAATGTAAAATGAACACTCATTTTCCTTTTGGATAAGAATTACTTTGTGTCCCTTGTGATTAGAAGCTTGTATACTGCCTTATGCACAAGAAAAATGGAAATGATTTTAGATCTTCCAGTGGGAAGTAGATCTCCCATAAAATATGGTCTGAGAACCTATTTTAGACATTCAGGACAATATTTTCCTTTAAATTAGGTGTCAGTTCCTTTGTGAAGTGAGATAGGGTGTGAGTATTCTATATTCTTTGATCAGAATTGTGAGGTGTGGCTGTCTTCCAAATTTAAAATTGTGACGTGATGTATGTGGGCTTTTAGTAAGTATTTGTTGAGTGATGCAGCAAGAAGCACTGCAAAGACCCATTGACAATGATAAAGCCTGTTGGCTGTAGTGCTGTTGTCAGGGGTTCTTAAAGCCCCTGTGTCACTTTAGGGGGAATAGGGTAGCATACATTTTTATTTAATTAAAATAAGTGAATTCAGTTTTAATTTTCTATTTCCAGTAGTCAAAATGATCGTACAAGGTTATGAGTACCTTAAAACTGGACTATCAGTAAAATGTCAGGGATGCTGAATATAGAATCCTAGCACCTGAAGTTTGGGGTACATGGAGGAAAAGCTACTAGGGAAAGGATGGGAAAACTGGCATGAGGTCATCAAACCTTTTTAGTTGTGATAAGAGTCTAGATGTTTCTCATTGAAAATAATGCAAGCCTTTAGTATTGAGAGCACTTAGAATGGAGCCTTCTAATCCTCTGCACCCTTTCAATATTCATAAAGTGCTGTTAACATAACAGCCTTGATCTGCAGCATGGGAACCTCAAGCATTTTACCTACATTACAGTTGCAGCTTATGAAAAAAGGTCACATTTAAAGTAGACAATTACTGATAATTCAGCTTGTAAACAGATTTCAAGTAGGGCTCCATGAACAAACTGGCTAACCCAGTTTTTACCAGCTCTTGTTATTTGCCAGTCACAGAGTTAATGTGTGAAATAGGAAGACAGCCTTATTCTTAATGCTATATTCTTAATTTTTGTTGAAGTAATCTACTTTTAGGATTTCACTGAAGTCTTAAATCAATGAATTAATGATTTAATAATTTTGTAATTGATGAAATATTATGGCCCCCTAATATTTTTTGCTGATTTTTCTCATGCTTCAGTTTTTACCATCAGATATCCCTTCAGTTCTAGGCTATGGGATGTTGACGGGGGTTGATGGTATAGAATTTCATAGCCCAAAGGAACTTTCCATTAAAAAAACCCTGTTTCTTAATTCTTTTTGGAAAGGTAAACACATGTACTTATACAAGAGGTATAAGCATGTTAATATGTTTTCTAAGAGCGTTTGATTCTGATTTCTTTTTCTCAATTTAAGGTTACCATCAGGAATATCGAAAGAGAGCTCATTTGCCCAGCATGCAAGGAGCTGTTTACCCACCCGTTGATTCTTCCTTGTCAACACAGTATCTGTCATAAATGTGTAAAAGAACTCTTACTGACAGTTGATGATTCATTCAATGACGTGGGATCAGATAACTCCAATCAGAGCAGTCCTCGGCTGCGGCTCCCCTCCCCCAGCGTGGATAAAATTGACAGAATTAGCAGACCAGGTATGTGGGAGAACTCTGGGGTGGGGAGGGGGTAGTTGGTGGTAAGAGTGAAAGGGAAATTATTTTTGTGATTTTGAGAGTTAAGCTTTCCAGGTGAATAAATTAAAACTGAGTTATCAAGGAACCCCTCCCCCTTTTAAAATGTCAAAATGAACTCTCACTGTCTCCGTATGCACTTAAAGTTGGATGTTGAATGCCAACTTTGTGTTAACCCCCTTGTTCACTGCGTCTGTATTGTAGGGGGTGTTCTCACCCTGTGACCTCCTTCATAGGAGGGATGAAATAATGAACTACCGAAGTACTGGCTAGGGAAACATCTAGGTATGGTAATATATAAATAAATGTTGCAGAAGTAAAGGATGACATTACATAATGACTAGTCCTAAAATATTTTTTAGAGGAGTTATTTGGTATCATCTTAGGCTACCTGAGGATTTTATTTTCTTCAGCTGTTTTTAATCCATTTTGTAAAATAAGGATTTTGAACATCAATTAAATGTACTGGAACCCTGTGGTAATGATAGAAGTAGATCTAATGAGATGAATAGCACACATACTGTACCTTTGTTATATAGCCAGTGTTTAAATTGTTTCCTGTTGGGACAGTGTTACTTTCTTTCTTGTGGGCATCCATTGCAGGATTGATGTACACCAAAATTAACTTGAAATCACTGGGAACAGAGCCACTGGGACATGAAGGGCCAAAGGAGTGAGGACCATGGGGAGGCAGAGGCTTGGGTAGAAATCCGCACCTCCTTCATCCTTTGTATGGAGAATACTCAGTCGCTGTAAGCACCAGACTTCAGGGCTTCAACTCCTCCCAATTTGGCTTTGAGGTTTTTTTTTTTTTTGAGGAAGATTAGCCCTGAACTAACTACTGCCAATCCTCCTCTTTTTGCTGGGGAAGACTGGCCCTAAGCTAACATCCACGCCCATCTTCCTCTACTTTATACATGGGATGCCTATCACAGCATGGCTTTTGCCAAGTGGTGCCATGTCCGCACCCAGGATCTTGAACTGTCGAACCTTGGGCTGCCAAGAAGCAGAACATGTGCACTTAACCACTGCGCCACTGGGCCGGCCCCTGGCTTTGAGGTTTCAAGTTTAATTCTTTCGTCCACTCTGTCCATTTCTCTCTGTTATAGGAATAACTTTTTAATCTTGTAAAAAAACCTTTCTGATTAGAAAAGAACTTCTTTCTCCTTATTTGCATTTTAGAGAATGTTGTCTTTTCTCTTCCACACTGTGATATGGAATGCCCTTGGGCAACATTCGTGTCTTTGTGCTCCATCAGAGAGTGGATGAAAGTAGATTTATTCTAAGAGTAGTCTTATGTCATTTTAAACACATATTTTTCTTTAGATGGTAATCACTAATTACTTGTAAGATATTTTGCACACATAAAAATTATACATGTAGGCAAAAAAAGGAGCATTAGGTAATTGTGGGAGTTTAGGGGTATTAGGGCGGAGAGGGTTGTGCTCATTGTGAAGTCATCACTGTCGTGTCTCCCTCCTTGCTGGGAATCTGGTGCACTGAGGAGGAAGGAGACGATTTTGAACTATTCTGAACAATTTTGAACTATTACTGTTCAAAATCATCCTACCAGATAAAACTTGATATTCTCTTGGTAGAACCTCACTGGCTAATCAGGGATCCCTGCTTAACTGATGAAGGCAAATGCGCTTTTTCTACATTGAGCATAGGCTGTTCAAAGGAATTTTAGTTCTGTGCTAGTAGGTCTACTTACAATTAGACTGAGCTCACATATGTACTTTTTGAAATCCTGTATTTTATGTAGGTTCTAATCTTAAAATTTGATTAGTTTTTATATGTGATTCATATGAGATATAGTTATCTAGATGAAATATAGTTTCATCGTTTTCAGGAGCTTACCTCACATGGTACTCCGTAGATGGTAATAAATATTTGTTGAGTGGCCGTTGAATGACAAACCTCCACTACAAGATTTGTACAAAGCCTGCCATAATGGCTTATATTCAGTAATAATGGCATTTTTTCCAGAACAAGAGATCCATTCCACCATACTTTGCACTATCTAGATCAGAAATAGAATTGCGGAGATGCTCCTCCTGCTTCTTTAGGAAGAAACCTGTTAAATTGAATTACGTCCTGAGTGGGGAAGAACGATTACAGGAAATAACAGTATTTGACTTGGAGAAAGGCTGACTGCAGAATATGATGGCTGTCTTGTGGAAGAGAGTAGTACACGGACTGTCTTCACAGCGAAGCTTCCAGATCAATGAGTAGAGGAAACAGGAAGGCAGATTTCAACTTAGCATGAGAGCAAACAGATACCTAAGGCTGTCCAAATAAAATGGGCTGCCTGATTTGGGCAGATCCTTGTCATTAGAAGGGTTTAAATTATGGGTCAAATTTAGATGCTGCAGGGGCCAAACAGGTACATTAAGGAAGCGGGCCCTAGGCATAATAGATACTGGTCCCTCTTTCATTTTACTTCTTTCAAATAGAGACAGTAAATATTTTATTTTCCCATGAACTCAACTGCTATAAGAAAACCAGCAGCCCATGTGTCAACAGCCACCTGACTCTAGGCCTCTCCTTTTGGAGACGGTGGGGTGTGGTTTGGGACTGTGGCGATTAGAATAGACGCCTTGTCTAATGTCGCAGTAGCCTCACTTGGCACTAGGGAATTATCATATGGTTTGGGGGTGCCAGATTGTCGGATTTACTGTTTCTTTCTTTCCCCCACAAAAACCTGATGGTAGTTTTGATGTGAAATCTGTTTTTTAAATGTTGGCAGTTAATTCAAATTATTTAAAAAGATGATGCCAGCTCCACAGAGGCCTGGGCAGCCAAAACACACCTTTGACTCTGCCCCATCCAGCTTTTGGGCCATCAGTGTTTGGAGTCTTTGTTTTATTTATTTATTTTTATTTTTTAAAGATTTTATTTTTTTCCTTTTTCTCCCCAAAGCCCTCCGGCACATAGTTGTATATTCTTTGTTGTGGGTCCTTCTAGTTGTCGCATGTGGGACGCTGCCTCAATGTGGTTTGATGAGCGGTGCTATGTCCGTGCCCAGGATTCGAACCAACGAAACACTGGGCCGCCTGCAGCAGAGTGCGCGAACTTAACCACTCGGCCAGCCCCATGGAGTCTTTGTTTTAAACAGTGGATAGGTGACCACTGTTTGCAAGTACTGTAGAGGGGATTTCTGCCTTGGGTGGTAGGTCAAGCCAGTTGTTATGTCAACTGCCCTATCTTCTCCAGGCCTGAAATTCTATGCCTTATAGAGTACCATTTCCATTCATTCATTCAACAAATATTTAAGTTGCCTCCTAGTTACCAGGCATGGCTAAATGCTGAAGCGTAATGACATGATAGATCCAGTCCTCCTTTTATTAAGAAGCGTGTAGCCTAGCAGTATACAAAGTATGTCATAAGAGGTGCAATAATTAGAACTTAGTCCTTCATCAAGAACATACAGAGCAAGTTAACAAATACAGATGGAGCGCCAGAGGGTGAGAAGGCTCCAGGTATAGTCATTCCTGGAGGTTATCATCAAATGAATGCCAATTTTAAGATTGCTTTCCTGGTGACCACCAGTTTTAAACTAGTAGAAGTTATCGTGTTACAAGTATAATGTTACTTACCCACCACTTATGGGGCATTTGCCAATAATTTTTCTTAGGATAGATTCAAAGATAAATTCAAGCGTAAGGAATGGGTTCCCTTTTTTTTCTAGCAGGTTTATTATTTTTCATCATTTAGACATACTTGGGAAGGAAACCAGAAACCCTATTCTGAGCAATTGGTGTGGGAGGAATAGAATTCTAAAAATTAGTGTTGCCATTGTTTTAATAAGGGATTAATTAGATGTGGACTGTCCAGTACAGTAGCCACTAGTCACAAGTGGCTGTTGAGCACTTGAAATGTGCTAGTCTGAATTGAGATGTGCTTTAAGTGTAAAATACACAGTGGATTTCAAACACTTAAAATGAAAAACAGAATATAAAAGTTCTGTTTAATAACTTTTATATTGATTATGTTTTGAAGTGATAGTGTTTTGAATATATTAGGATTAAATAGCATTATTAAAATTAATTTCACTTGTTTCTTTTTTATTAATCTGGCTTCTGGAAAATGTAAAATGACTTGTGGCTTACACTTTTGGCTCACATATTCCTTTTGGATAGCAATGCATTGGACATTTGACAGATTTTTAGAATAAAAGGGTACCTTGAAAGGCAAGTAAGGTTTGTGTGTATAACACAATAGTATATTAAATTATGTAAAAATGAAAGAGGTATATTGCTGTACATTTTTGGTCATATATTTGCAAGGTTTCCCCTCATTTTGCATCTCCTTTCATCAGAAAAATATAGTCAGTTTTAGTAATGTTTATTTATAGTATTGCTTTACATCAGTAAAAAAAATCAGACAAAAGATGCTTGATTTTACTTTGTATTTTCAACAGTTAGAGATATGATTGTTCAAAAATACCAATCTATAAGGTAAAGTGTAGGCCTCTTGAGTGCTGTGCCAACAGTGATTAATTCTGAACTCGGAGATGAGCTTGATGAATGTCTTACAGTGATGGCTTCATAAATACCATGTGTACCAGGAAAAACACGTTCTTCTACTGTTAACTCAAAAATTGTGTTATGTGCAGGACACAGTTACTGCTTTATCTTTTGTTAACAAGTTGTGAATCTTCTCTTTGAAATTAAATTCTAAATCCAGCTTTCTGTTCATTGTTCACAGCTTCGCAGAGGAGATCTTGGGGGTGGAGAGGTAGAAAACGCTTTATTGCTTGTGTGGCCGCAGGCAGTATAGTGTTAGAGTTAAATAACCTCGTGTAGATAAGGTTTTTAAATATCAGTGGTCAAGTCTGCAAAATTTTGTCGAAGGTGAATGAATTGGGCTGAGAGGACTTAAAGGTCAACAGGACTAAATTTCCAAGCAAGTTCTGATGTTTCTAAAGGGAGCACTGATTTTGAGAGCTTGTATTTTGTCAATATAAGTGACAAGATATTGTTGAAGAAAATGACATACCCCTGTTGTTAGCTTTTTTCATGTAGGTTACCTTAAAAGTCTTTTTCATTTGCTTAGTGGAACGAAGCTTGTGTTAACAGCCACATTCGCTACCTTGGGGAGGTTAAACAAGCCAGTACTTCCTTCTGTATTTAAAAGTTTGTTTACAGGTATTGATCATTTTTGTAGTTAATAGCATAATCTTTGCTTGTTTTATGCTTATGATGTCTTTTCTTTGTTAATGTTTCAAAGTATTTCAGTTTTAACACAGATCTTACCCATTTGTGGGTAAATAATGCACACTGCTTTTTTAGGCTTTCTGAAATATTTGATTCTGAATGAAAGATAGGCCGACCTATCTTACTATAATTTTTTTTTTTTTTACTCCAGTTGACCTTTAAAGTAAAATTGGCTACTTTTTTTGTCGAATGCTGGTGATACCTTATGTTTTATTGAAGAAAATAAACACTTGAAATGTTATCCCTTTTCTGTCTTCCTTACATGCATGCATCTGTTCTAGAATCTTACAGCTGCTTCTATATGCCACATGTGATCTTTCCTCTTATAGGCTTTGGCGAGTCCCTGAGAATTTTAAGTGTTCCAACTTAATAATTAGAAGGAAAGGTAGGAGCAGTTTGCTTAAAATAAGTTAATTGCTTATTATCCTTTTTTGATTCAGACAGCATTTAAGAAAAAGGTTTTGCAGGTTGAAAATGCTAATAATACTTCAAGGGTAAATGCAATTGGTGGCCATCAGATGGTCAGAATGTGCTAAAAGAAACATTAGGGTGGCAGTAGAAGACATCAGCCCATTGCCAAACACCGAGAAGCCCGACATGAGTGTTGAGCTTGGGGCAAGGTAGCCCCTGACCAGCCAGGTGGTAATAGTGGGGACGCTGTTACCACCAGAATGTGCGGCGAGAGGACGCAGCTGGCAGACGTTTTGGACCTGTTAGTGCTGAGTTTACTCCTGGTTTGAAATGCTTTATTTTCAGTTTGATATTTAAATGGTAGGACATGACTGAAAGCCCTCTTTTTTGGAGATTTACTATAAACCAATTTGAAGATTTTTTAGAGTCTTCATTTTAAAATTGTGTCATGATTTGTACTTGTTTAATCTATCTTTGGAATAAAGGTATGTGGGGAAAAGAATTGATTCTGCAGGGTGACAGTATTCAAACAATTTGCATACTGTTTGACATATGAAGTTGCACTGCTTGGCCTACGTTGCTTCCTTACCTCTCTCAGCCATCGTTGCTTTTCTTCCTCATTATCTCTCTCTAGAGAGCACTGTTATCCAGTGAACTTTCTGCGATCAGGGAAATGTTTCACCCTGCACTGTGCAGTATGGTAGCCGCTAGCCACAGGTGGCTGTTGAGAATTTTAAATGTGGCTAGCGCAACCAAGGAACTGAATTTCTAATTTAATTTAATTTTGATTAAAGTTAAATAGCCAGTTTGGCTAATGGTTACTGTATTAGACAGCACAACTATAGAGAGTAAAAAGTTGACTCTATTACACTATATTCTTAGTTCCACTGTCTTGATTTTTTTTTTAATTAGGTTTCCTTCCCAGAATGGCCTTAAATCTGTCCTGTTTTCTTTAGTGCCCTGAACATATATTCTGTTGTTTGTTTTTATGAAAACAATGGTAGAAGTATAAGACAGATGAAATAAAATATAAGTTCTAAAAACATTTGAGAGCTTTTAGGTCTGTTTATAAAAATAGCCAAGATGTATTGATGAAATATTTTGTCTGATTTAAGAAGTTCAGTGTGATCCTTTACACTTGGATTTTTATTATAAAAATAGTTTGAAAGAGGTTTACAGAAAAGGGACAAAACATCTTTTTTGAAATTTCTGAACATGAAGCCCAAGATCTGGGTGTCACCAGTGTACAAGTTAAAGCATGATTTTGTTGTCATGATTTCATTTCTTTTTCCCTTTACTTGATTGATCACAACCTTCAATTTGTAAAACCAATAATAACCCACTTTTTAAAAACATTGACTGTTGAGATTAGTTATCCATTTTAATTTCTAGCACCTATTTCATGAGCGGAAGCATGCAATTAAATGTGAATTTCCATTTGTTTAAACTTGACCACTGCACTATATCACTTCCAGAATTATTTGGCTTGTTTTTTCACTAAATGGAATTTTCATTGGCATGTGTTTTAAAAGTAGCTCTGCTGCTTGTTTCATTATATGCCTGCTGTGGTGTGAAATACTTTGGACTGTATTGCATGTTTTTAGAATTATTACAAGAATATATTTTATTTTGGATTTTCAGATTTTTATGGGGCAGGTTTTTTTGGTATATGCATTTTTTGTATGTTTAAAAATGTAAAAGTTAAAAATGTTTTTAAATGAAAATATTAAAAATATTCTGCATGTTTATAGTATAAGTAGCTTTCAGGGCTCAATGCCATTTAGCATGATGTAAAGTCATTTTAAATGATTAATAGCATGGGATGATTGCTAAATTTTACCTATAGTGTATCATGCCAGACCTTTTCTTGGTGAGGAAGATTGTCGCTGAGCTAATATCTGTGCCAATCTTCCTCTATTTTATGTGGGATGCTGCCACACAGTGTGGCTTGACAAGCAGTGCTAGGTCTGCGCCCAGGATCCGAACCTGTGAACCCCAGGCCACTGAAGCGGAGTGCACAAACTTAACCACCATGCCATGGGCTGGCCCTGCCAGACATCTTTTGAGACAGTCTTTTCAGTGATGGTAGTAATGTGCCAAGGCACTATTAATATGGCTGTTTAAAGGCCTTTTATAAATGTTGTGTGCTAAGTTTAACCATTCATTTTTGGTACTGGATACATGGTAGTATAAAAGAAGGCTGTAGGTTAAGAAGTTTGTGTTTATATTTAGGGAGTTATTTTGTGGTCAACCAGGACTACAAACTCTAAGAACAGATTCATAAATGAGAGGAGGGACTATGGTGGGCACGCACCTGTGTGAAGTGGACAGCCCCAGATTCTTGTGAACTTGTGGATAAGGTCTGTCATGCCTTGATTTCCTGATTTGTTAAAATCAGGATAAGGCTGAACAAAAGTGTGATGTTTAAGGTCATTTATTGTATTATGTATATATTATAAAATTATTTTTTATACTTTTTGGGTAACTTTTGGCTTACTGAATTTAAGTAATCTTAATGATTCTTTGTTTCAGGTCAAAAGAAGATACTAAATGGTTGGTCCCTCTTAGTGTCACTAGATCTGGGTCTATGAATGAGCTTTTCACTCTTTTATAGATTGCACTCAATTAACTGATTTGCCTACTGAATGTTTCCAAATAAAACAATACTACAGTGGGAAACCCTCTTTTGCAGTGGTTCTTAACACTTTTGTGCTCACATATTCCTTTGAGAATCTGATAAAAGCTATGGTTTTTTAACCGGAAAATATGCATAGGTACATAGATGCAAAATTTTGCCTATAATTTCAAATAGTTTACAGAACTGTTTGGCTCTCTCTGGAGTGTATCCGTGGACCCTGAGTTAACGAATCCTGCTCTTTTATTTATGAATTCATTTCCTATCAGTCAGCCAAGGCTGTGTTCATTTAAGTGGAAGCCAATTTCCTTTGGATATAATATATAAAATAACTGTAAATGTTAATTATATAATTGCAAAAGATCCTGACCCTGTGTAGTATTGTATTACCTGTCTTGTCCATATATCTGTTTGATTTAATATGATTTTTATGTGGGATTTACTATAGAATATTTTCCTTTCCTCTTTGATTTAATAACTATTTAGTAACTTGGGATTGTCTTCTGTATGCAAGGAAAAACTTCTTAAAAAAGCATTTCCAGAATATAAATTGACTCAAGTGGAGCCACTTTGAGTATTATATTTTTGGAAAATATTTGTGGATATATATCTTTCCAAAACGTGACTCTTTTTTCCCTCACTCTATTCATTTTCCTGCTGATGTAACTAAACAAGGACTTGCTAATTACACAGGCTGGAAGCGCAATTCATTGACCCCTAGGACGACTACTTTTCCTTGCCCTGGCTGTGAGCATGACGTGGATCTTGGAGAACGAGGAATCAGCGGTCTGTTTCGAAATTTCACTTTGGAAACTATTGTTGAAAGATACCGGCAGGCAGCCAGGGCGGCCACAGCCATTATGTGTGACCTGTGTAAACCACCACCTCAAGAATCCACAAAAAGTTGCCTGGACTGTAGTGCAAGCTACTGCAATGAATGCTTTAAAATTTATCATCCTTGGGGTACTGTAAAAGCTCAGCATGAGTATGTGGGCCCAACCACTAATTTTAGACCCAAGGTAAGTGAAGTGTTTATTAAGTTGGAGTATTAAACTTAATTTATAAGAGAAATTATTACCAGTCTAGAACTTGACAGTAAGAAAGGAACTTGCTTGACTTGAGAAGCTGGTACAAGAAATTAAGGCCTAGTAGTTGAGGTTATTTAGTATGTTGCTAAACAGCCCCACAGCTTAGAAGGCAATATTACCGTTCACTCTGTTACAGTACAGTGTCAGACGACACAGTTGAATGTCCTAATGGTAACTCTGAGTAATAAAGGTTACCTTATCTCAGATGTACTCTCTAAGATTGAAATTATTCAAGTTAAAGAGCTTTTGTGCTTTAATGTGATAAAGCCATAATTATCTAAAAGATTTAATTGGTAAACATTTTTCAGACATTTTTAGTTAGCTAAGTACTATGAATAAATAAGACTAATTACAGCCTAACAGTTTGAAGCTTGTGATATAGTGGTTATATAACGTCTGAAGTAGAATTTGCATTTCTTAAATATTCTGGGTACTTTCTATAACAACGTTCAGGAGAACTTTATGTATTGTTTTCTCTGCTGCGTAACTGAAAAGCAGAATGATTCATGGATATCTTCACTTATACTGCTTTCTGATTTATATAGATAAAAACACTGTAATTGATTCTTTTAAAGTTCTTATTCCAATCTAATAACTTGTGAGTTTGAAAATCTGTTTTTGTGTTCTTGAACATAAAACCTTTAATTTGTAATAGAAAAATGGAAGAAAAGATCCCACAAGTTATTTTGAAGCTGTGAGCTGAGCATTTCTGACATCATATGAAGTAGTGTAGGACGACAGGTAGATTAAAACAAAAACAGTCTATGTGCCCACGTTTTGATGACTCTTTTCTCAAACTATGTCAGTGTGGCAATAGATTGATCAAATAGTTTCTAGTCCTCTGTTATGGTCCTTATCTCATTTTAAATGCTTAAGGTCATAGATTTTTAAAAATTTATGACTTCCGTCTGGTGTTTTGTTTCTTGTAAAAGATGAGTTAAACTGATTAATACTATTCTATCATGAGAGAACCTATGGTTGTTAGTTGAATTATATTGGGCTTGAGTTTTTATGAGCTAAGAATTTCATGAAATTGAAAAATTTTGAGTATAAATTGGAGTCTTATTCTATTTGCAAATATCAGATTGATAAGAGAGAACCAAAGGCATATGAATAGGTACGTTGAGAAAAAAACGTTTTTTTCCTTCAAGTCTTTAGTGTTATTCACTATAAAAAATTCTAAAAAAGTGTCTGTGTATCCTATAGAATATTTTCCTGTAACTTTGAGTTCTTGTGATCATTCCTTTGAGAAAGGCAAACTTTCTATTTTATTTTTAATGTAGTGACTTTGAGAATGTAGGAACTTGAACATACTTAGAAATCTTTTCCAGTTGTTTTTCTCCTGTGCCTCCTCGTCGGAATCAGGACTTTATATCCTGAGAAGAAATTTTTTTTAATGTCTCTCAGTTATCAGATGAGTTATAGTTACTTAAAATCTAACCTATTGGAATCATGGACAACTTTTTGATTTCATTAACGACACTAGCTTAAAGGAATTCTCCCCTTCTGCCAAATGAAAACAGTTATTTTATGTAAAATTTCAAATGTAGCTATGATGGTAGTTTACAGACTAAATAAAAAGGTAGAAACTTAAATCAGAAAAACACAGTTCTGAACTTGGTCAGTGTGTGTGCAATTAAAATGTAAAAGCAAACGCATCTGGAAGCTTATATCCTAAAGTATTCCAAGACTCTCTTAGTAACAGATGTCCTGTGAGGATCATGAGGCCATGGTTCTCATAAATTATTTGTTATGGTACCTTATAAAAACATTGATCGTGATCATTAAGAGCTGCCTAGTCACTGTGGCCAGGGGCCTTTCTAGCTTGGTTAAGCGTTTTACTTGAGTCTCATAGCAGTGAAATTTTCACCTTATCATCAAGTTTAGGGGAGATGACAACATCTGTGTATTTTATTGACCATTTGAACCCTCAAATTGAAAAACAGTGATTCTACTGTAGAGAATTTTCATATGATGTACCAAACACTTTTATTTCTTTTCACACTTTCATTCATTTAAATGGCTTTATTTAGTGATTTTATAAAGCAAATCTTTGCATTTTGGGACTTTATCCCATTACTTGAAAACTTTTGAGTGCCATGTAAGCTATGAAGACCCTTAATCACACTTTTATTCTTTCCTCAATAGATTTTAATGTGCCCAGAACATGAAACAGAGAGAATCAACATGTACTGTGAATTATGTAGGAGGCCAGTTTGTCATCTCTGTAAGTTGGGTGGTAATCATTCCAATCACCGTGTGACTACCATGAGCAGTGCCTACAAAACCTTAAAGGTGGGACTTATTTTTGGAACTAAATTTTGATTCCTTGTAACTTTATTTTACTTTATACCTTTAACTTTTTCCTTTTGAAATCGTGGCATGTTGTGTGGTCTGTTTTACTGAAATGAGTGAACATCCAAAGTGTTACTTACTGATCTGCTAATATGAGGTTAGTATTTCTGACCAGGCAGTTCTTTGCCACAGTGATCTGCTAGTTCTGAACTCTGAGAAAGAGAGCGGGACGACGGATACTTCATATGGTCGCCAGTGAGCCCAATGCCTGTGATACCGAGTGTGTATATGAGAATGACACACTTTGAAAGACAGTAGCTATTTTGACACTTGATTCTTGTTGCTTGCCTGTAGAATTAGTATAAACTGTTTTGTTTATTCTGGTGGGTACTATCTAAAACTGAGTTACTTGCTGTCTGGTAAGCTTATACAGTCATGCCTTGCTTGATGACAGGGATACGTTCTGAGAAATGTGTCATTAGGTGATTTTGAGAAATGTGTCATTAGGTGATTTTGTCATTGTGTGAACATCATAGAGCAATGTACACAAACCTAGATGGTACAGCCTACTACACACCTAGGCACTATGGTGCTAATCTTATGGGACCACCGTCATAGATGCGGTCTGTCGTTGACCAAAACGTTGTTATGTGATGCATGACTGTATGTGGCCCTTTTAAAACTTGCAAATTTGGTTGATAATTTACAGCCAAGTAGGCAGTGATATAATGCTATTTTTTATTCCATTCCTTTTTCCTTTTTAAAAAGGAATTAATTCTTCCGTAAATCTAACACCCATTTTAATTTTTGTTTCAATTTTTAACAATATGTGTACGCACTTTTTGGCCTATATGTAATTTGCATATGTACGTACAATTTTATATTTTGCATTTTGTATGTCTGTCATGCTCAGTCTTCCTTCTCCATTGAACAGGTGAATTATATGTGTGGTTGTTTTATTGTCCTTGTTTATTAATTCTGTTGTCTGTGTCATTACCAGGTCAGTTTTGTCTGATTTTTTCTTCTTATGATTCCCCTCCTCCTTTGCATGCCTGGCAATTCTTTATTGGCCACCAGGTATTGTAAATTTTACCTTCTTGGGCACTAGATATTTTTGCATTTCTCCAGATATTCTTGAGTTTCCTTCTGGTGTGCGATTAAGTTACTTGGGAACAGTTTGTTCCTTTCGGGTCTTGCTTTGGAGCTGCCTTAGGCAGGACTGAGTGGCGATTACTTCTCGGAGCAATCTTACCTGACTATTGAAGTAAAACCCTTTGTGTACTCTTCCCGATGCCCTGTGAATTTTGAGGGTTATTTTTTAGTCTGGCTGGTAGGGAACAGGTGCTGTTCCCAGCCTGTGTGAACTCCTGGAGTTCTTCCCTCTCCTCCTTCTGGGTGCTACTGTCCATGGCCTCTGACGGTTTCCTCACACATGTGAATGAATCAGTGCTCTGCTGAATAGGCGAGGGGGCCCCCTTGTACCTCTGCAGAGTTCTTTCTCTTTATAGCTATTGTTGTTAGGTGTTGTATAAACTCTGGCCTCCCTCGACTCCCAACTTCCTCTCCTCAACTCATGGTAGATCCTCAGCTCCACTTGAGTTCTCTGCACCAGGCTTCAGAAGCCTCTTCAGACAGTAAGCTGGGGCATTATGCCCCACAGTCGCAGTGCCACTGTTTGCTGATTACGTTTAACTCTGACACCTTGTTTTTTTGTTTCTTATTGGTTTGATCTTACACAAGCTGTCCCCCAGTTTTTTTCTGTTACCTGGAATAAATCTTTGACTACAGTATACACTTGTTATTCTTTATGTTCTGGTGTTAATTTCTCTCACTTATGTTTCAGCCTTTTTTTTAAATAGACTCCATAATAGGTTTCTTAATTTACTCACTTTTTAGTAAGAATAAAATTATTTAGATTTGCTATTTGCTAAAAGTAGCAAACTGATCTCCTTAGATCTCCTTCCTTTTCACTTGGTTTTAGATTTTAAGCTGGAGGGCTCCATGATATATGTTATATTATCATTTCTCTTCTGCGTCCCATTGGACCTAGGCAATCTGTGTTAAGACTAGATCTGTTTTAACCAAGAATCAGTGTGTCCATTTGTTTATAGGCCTCCAAAAAGTACATGCACCAGACACTGACACTAGGCATTGACTGAGCATTAAAGTAAAACATGAAGAGACGTGGCTCCTTCCTTCAGGAAGTGCGTCTAATGGGGGAAGCAGTTTTAAATCTTTTGGATATAGTAGGCCCCAGTTCTCTAGGAACTCATCAAAGCCTAATTTCTCAAGGACCCAAAAATTGCTCAAAGCTTTCCTCTAGAGCAGTGCTTCTCAAATGCTAGCGTGAGTCAGTTTCCCCAGAGCTAATGAAGATCACACAGGCCCGCGCACCTTGAAGTAGGACAAGCCTGGCCTCTGTAGTTTTACAAATTCTTCTCTTTGCTGCTGTAGCCAAAAGGAGTACAACCCCCTGCACGCGGTACTTCTGGTTCCAGCATGGGCCTGACAGGGCAGCATGGGAGGAACTGTCACCTTCCTTGCAGCTTGGTGCTGCGGAAGGCCCCGTGGAAGGAATGATGGTTAGTACTGGGCACTGAGGAAGTGTCTAGTTCAGCTACTGTCTATGTGATATTTGTACTCACTGAGCTTTGGTTTCCTCATCTGTAAAATGCTGGGTTAAGACACAAGATTTTATGTCTCTTCCTATCCCTAACATCCTACAGTTTCTTTCTTGGTCCTGTCCTGCCTTTAGTCCTCAGAAATCTTGTTCCTCTACCTCATGGGTCCTTCCTCTGTCCCTCCAGCGAGCCATCAAGGAAACTCACTGTGTCTGACTGCTGGGTGTTCAGTGAATTAGAGCCAGGTGCTGCCGGAGACCTGTCACTTTGGTTTCTGCATCCGTTCTCTTACCCTGCTATGTGGTCTAAGGGAAAAAAGAGGAAGATAATATTGGTAGGAGACTCACTTCTTAAATTCCTCAAAGCTGGGTCTCTGCCCCTTTCTTTTCTTACCCTCTTTTCATTCAGATCATCAGCAGTGACAGAGAAATGCTCAGGTCCTCCAGGCAGGGCTGCACCTCCTTAGGTGTTTTCTGGATGTTCTTATTCTTTTTAGACTCTGAATACATTTGTCTGTTAGAACTTTGTACCCCAAAGTACTTCAGGGTTTTTGTTTGCTTTTTAATATACTTCAGCATATTACATATTATTTTTTCTGGGCTAGACTTAGAGATCTTACCAAAACCTGTGACGTTATCTCTATGGTAAACTTTACTGATTCTCAAATGACTGCTTTGTAAACAAGTTGTTCATTAAGCTCTGGAAGCTTAATAAGCTCTGTTTTATAAATCTGTATTTTCATATTGTTTATCGTATAATTATTTAATGACCATCTAGGCTGGGATGGGCTATGAAGATTATTTTGGAAGGTTCTTTTTTTCTGTTCCTATTGTTTTTGTGTGTGAGTGAATTGTAAAATCTGATGGAAGAAAATACTGTTTGAATTTCTGCCCTTCCATTTACTTAGAAGACTTAGAGAAAGAGTCCTGGGAGTGATGATGAGACAACAAAAATGTACTATTAGTGTCTTTGGGATTTTTGATAATCTGAGCTTCACTATTTTGTTCTTGTTTCCACCCTTCTTCTACTTTCTCGTATATCCTTGGGCCTGTGTGCTCAAGGCAAGTAACTGTTTACCTTGGGTTAATAAGGATAATCACCATAGTTGATGTTACTGTTTGTCAATTTTACTGTCTGTTTATCACAGGCTAACAAAGAGGATGAGTACTCTGAAAAAAAAATTCTTTAAGGCCTTTGTTAAACTTATATTTCTGCTTATTTGTGTTACTAATAATTTCCAACAGGAAAAACTTTCAAAGGATATTGATTACCTTATTGGCAAGGAGAGCCAGGTGAAGAGTCAAATTTCTGAACTAAACTTGTTAATGAAAGAAACAGAGGTAAGTGATAAACTGGCTTGCGTATTTCTCATTCATTCATCTAGATGTTCACTTATTCATTTATAAAATCCTGAGGGTATTAGATGAGCTGAGAGGACAAAGTTGTGTTAGATTTCACCCCCTGCTTTTCTGGGACTAGGAAAACAAATGTACAAAATAAGTTATGCTGTATGATCAGTGCTGCAACAGAAGTAGTGATTAAATGATATTGGAGCACAGAGCAAAGAACGACTAACTCTTTATGTGGCAGTTAACAAGGACTCAAAAATAGCAATATAAGGGAGATGATAGCTTTTACAGTTATCTGTATTTTCCAGAATTAACAGATGGCATTTGAAAAACATACTATATGTGGATAGGACCAGGTTTATTTAAAATTCCAGCTATTCCTAAGTATACACCTGACATATGTTCACCAAAGACATGAATTAGAATGTTCATAGCTACATTATTTGTAATAGCCACAAAGTGGAAATTACCCAAATGCCCATCAATGATGTAATATAAATAGCAGTAAGAATGAATATCTACAATTATATGCAACAATGTAGATAAATCTTGCAATAGTATTGAAAGAAAGATGCCCGATACAAAGGAGTACTTACTGTGTGATTCCATAAAGGTGAGACTGGACCGTGTTGGTTTATATTGTTCAGGAGAGGAGTTGTTGAAGAGCGGGAGGATTAGTGCCTGGAAAGGTTGTAAGGGTGGCCGCTAGGACACTGGTGAGGTTCTTTTATAGAATCTGGATGCTGTTTGTTTGGGTGTGCTTGCAGAGATTCATCAGTCTCTCCATTACATGTACATTTTTCTGTTTATTGTATTTCCAATAAAAAAATTAGAAAAATTGATAGCATTTAAAAAATATAGTAAAACAGGATAGGACTAGGTTGTTTTAAAATTCCAAATATTCTTTACTGACTTTACCTATTTCTTCTCTCTATTTGAAATAAATTGAAGAGCCATTACTTCTGATCACTTTAAAAGTTGTAATTAAATATATAAGACTGTTGCTTCTTGAAAATGGTTTTTAAAAATGGGTTGAAATTATTGAGAGATTATGTAAATTAGCACCATGTTACCAGTATTGCTTTTGCACTTAATGTTCTTTTTTCTGATATTCACTGACTGCATTTATCACCCTAAATAAGTTGTTTTTCCATGTAATTTAAAAGTGGGGTTGAGCCAGTCCTGATGGCCTAGTAGTTAAAGTTTGGTGCTCACCCGTTTGGTGGCCCGGGTTCACTTCCCCATTGTGGACCCACACCACTCGTCTGTCAGTTGCCATGCTGTGGCAGTGGCTCACATAGAAGAATTAGAATGACTCACAACTAAAATATACGACCATGTACTGGGGCTTTGAGAGGAAAAAAAAAAAGAACAGGAAGGTTGGCAACAGATGTTAGCTCAGGGTGAATCTTTCCCTGCAAAAAAAAAAGCTGGGATTTTGTTTTTCATACGTTTGTCTGGTTGACAGACTCAGTTTGGTGTAGTCCTCCAGCACTTAGCAAATGATCACCTAGGTGGCAGGTTGCTTCAGGGCTTGTAGCTTTGGTCATTTCAGGCTTGTCTTTACCGGTTCTCTCAGTCACACTGTCCTTTGCTTCTGAAATAAGGAAAACCCAGTACCTGTGTTTGAGTTTGTCATTCACTGGGTTGAAAATTGAGGAACTCAGGTGTCAAGTTTTCATATAGACACTGATTCCTTGGAATCCTGGAGAAATTATTTAACTTCTTTTTGTATCTTTGACCTAAGCTGCATTTGTAGGTTTATCAGTAAGAATTTTCTTCAACACTAGAGAATTCATCTCTATTCTTGAATTTAACTCAGTGACAGTTGTGACACTGTCTTTTTATCTGTAATTATACTTAGCCAGAAAGAAAAATCTCCTTTTTACCTATGGATTTAATGTTGTGATGTCATAAAATACTACCAAAATGTCACCACCCTCTGTCTTCTCCCCACTGCCCCAATTTTAAAGAAATTTTGGCTGTTGGGGTTAGGAAACAGAGAAACAATCTGGAACAAATTTCCTTTCGTTGTAAATGTTGGCTATAAGCCATTGGAAAACGCACAGTGCACTTCTACCATATATTGTCAGCTTTCAAGAATGTTTTTGAAGACTCTTTTCTGTTGGCTGCTGCAGATGAGTCTGTTAAGATAAGTGCTTATGAGTGCTCTGCTGGTCTTATTTGCAAAATCAAGTTGATCTCTGATTTTATGGTCATTCAAAATGTTTATTAAGCACCACAGATAGGATCATTTTATGACAAAGTAGAGGAATAACTGCATGTACAATGAAAATAATGCTTATTCAGAATGTGTGACATTGTAGTGGGCATTTTATGTAAATAATCTCTTTCAATCTTCAAAAAAACCTAAATGGTTTCTCTTATCCCCAGTTTTCAGAAGAGAAAAACTCAACCATGAAGTTAATTTGCATAAGGCCATACAGCTTTTAATTATAATTAAATTAATAGTAATTTGAAGATAAGAGTTACATTTTTATATCTTGGTAAAGGGTGTCATCTTTTCTGAGTTTCATGGCTGTAGTTTAACTTTTAAAAAAATTGGAATAGAGTAGAAAGTGTCATAATTTTCCTGAATTAGAAAGGAATTAAAAACTCCAGAATTGTATTTTCCTGTGTCTTTGGTTAAATCACTTAATTTCTGCCTCAAGTTCCTTTGTATACAAATTGAAAGTTGTTTTCTTATTTAATTGAATAAATTGTTTATTGCTGGACATTGGAGATTAAAAACTTAAGGAAAGTACAATATTATAAAATTACAAAGTATGTCTAAATAAAAGTTGCCAGTCGTTCCTTGCTAAGTGTATTTGATGCCAAATATTGTTCTGAAAACTTCAGAGTCAGATGAAATTTTTTTCAGTACAATATTTGGGTTTGTTTTGTTGTTTTGGCTATTTTATGAGGAGACATTGGATTTAGCAGATGAGATAATGCTTTGCTTGTTTTATAATAGTGTAACGGAGAGAGGGCTAAAGAAGAAGCAATTACACATTTTGAAAAGCTCTTTGAAGTTCTGGAAGAGAGGAAATCATCTGTTTTGAAGGCAATTGATGCTTCTAAGAAGCTAAGATTAGACAAATTTCAGACTCAAATGGAAGAATACCAGGGGCTTCTTGAGAACAGTGGCCTTGTGGGATATGCTCAAGAAGTGCTTAAGGAGACAGATCAGTCTTGCTTTGTGCAGACAGCAAAGCAACTCCACCTCAGGTAGTTCACTTTTAACTTAGAATCTCTCCAGCAATGTGGTTAAATGCTGTGTGTGTTTCAGCTTTGGCCTCGAGTGGTTCGTGATGCTGCGTTGCGTGCAGAGCCTCTTGCTTCACGTGTCAATGTTGAGTGTAGTTTTCTTTTGTTAATCACATTACAAACATTTCTTCTGCTTTTCCTTTTCAAAAGTCATTTTTGTATAATATGTACTATATCTGTCTGCAGAATTCAGAAGGCTACAGAATCTTTGAAGAGCTTTAGACCTGCGGCTCAGACTTCTTTTGAAGACTATGTTGTTAATACATCTAAACAAACAGAACTTCTTGGAGAATTGTCCTTTTTCTCTAGTGGTAAGTTTTAGTAATGGCAAAACCTCACTCTTTTAGTCTGAATTTTCATTATGTAGAAAAAACAGAGTCCTTTCAGTTTGATATTACAAAGCAGCATCTCTGTTGCCCTGAATCATCATATTCCATTTACGTTTTTATAGCTGTGTTTTTATGCACAAAAACTATTTTCTACTGGTTTTTGTGGTTTTAAACATTGTGTAAATGGTATCACATTGTACAGATTCTTTTTTTAAATTGCTTTTAAAAAAATTGTTTAAGATAAATGTTAATACTTGAGGGTCTGGTTTAAAGCTGTATTCTAACTTTATAGCATTTTATTATGTAAATTATTTCCCCGCTGAGAGACAGTTTGTTTCTATTTTTTTTCCTCTGTTGTAAGCAGGGCTGTCTAGAACATCTTTGTGTTTCTTTGTGCACAGGTCCGTGAGTTTCTATAAGGCAGAAACCTGGAAATGGTGTCTTCGAGCTAAAAATGACTAAGATGTTTAAGTGTTTACCTTGCTGTATGAGTTCGCTAAGCTGCCAAAACAAAATACCGCAGCCTTAAACAACAGAAATTTATTTCCTTATAATTCTGGAGGGTAGAAGTCCAAGACAAAGCTGTGGGCAGGGTTGATTTCTTCTGAGGGCCCTCTCCTTGGTTTGCACACGATGACCGTCTTCTCCCTGTGTCTTCACATGGTCTACCCTCTGCATATCTGTGTCTAAATTTCTTCTTAGAAGGACACCAGTCATATTAGGCATACTGGATTAGGGCCTACCCTGATGACCTCATTTTAACTTAATTACTTCTTTAAAGACCCTCTCTTCAAATTCAGTCACATTTTGAGGTACTGGGGTCAGGACTCCAACATGCAAATTTCAGAGGAGGCATAATTGAGCCCGTAGCTCATTTGTTGTATTTGTGTTTTGCTGCTCTCCTGCAGATGTCTTCCTTCCCTTCTTCTCTTCTCACCTTGTTCATCTCCCTCAGATTTCTCTTGTAGGGATGGTGAACAATTATAGTCCTTAGAAAGGTATACTTACAGTTTAATTACCATGTAGATAGAGATGTGTAGATTTGTACATTCAATCTAAGGAAATTTGTCTTGTTAATAGTTAAAAACTCTCTCAGGCTAGCCCTGTGGCGGAGTGGTTCAAGTTCCACGTGCTCCGCTTGGGCGACCCACCCAGGTTCGTGGGTTCAGATCCCGGGCGCTGACCCACTCCACTTGTTGGTCATGCTGTGGAAGCGTCCCACGTACAAAGTATAGGAAGATTGGCACAAATGTTAGCTCAGGGCTAGTCGTCCTCAAGCAAAAGAGAAAAAGGAGGATTGGCACCGGGTGTTAGCTCAGAGCAAATCTTCCTCAACAACAACAACAAAATAGGTTAAAAACTCTGAAGGATTGTGACCTCCTTTCTTTTCAAATCAGTACCTGAATCTCCTTTCAGATATATACTTATCTCATTTATTATGATGGTCTTGTTTTTCCAAATATAAAATATTTGTTACTCTTTAAAATGCTGGTTATACTTCATATACTGTACTCCCCCTTTTTTCCCAAAATGTGTACTTGAATTCTTTTTCATATACATGCTAGTTTACTTAGGAGTACAAGGTCCTCCCTCCCTCGGGTATCCCAAAACACTCTGGAAAGATGAGGTTGAAGGTGGGTAATCTTGTGTTATGCCAATGTCTAACAAAGAACCAGTAAAACGATGGGTGAGAATGGAAAGTAGTCACTCAGCTTCCGGCTGATAGATGATCTCCTCATTTTTTCCTTCATGCACATTTTTTAGTAAGCTGTGGTTCAAAAAAAGAAAAGCAAGGGCTGTGGGGTGGGGCATACTAGTGATGTTATTCTGTAACTAGCTGTTTTTTTTCACTTGCAAATGTGTTTTGGATGACTTTTCAGATCTCATTATGGTTGCATAACATTCGGTTGCATCAGTGCACCATACTCAGGCATCCTCTCGCATTGCGTATATGTAGCTGGGGATCAGGAGAGGGAGGCTTCTGCTTTTCATTTCATATTCTCCTCTGTGATTTGATATAAATGTGTGTTTGTGTGTGTGGGTGTGTGTAACTTTTATAGCTTATATATAACTTTTATAACTTATATAGCTTATATGACCCAAGCAGTTAAGCTTATTGGAATTTACTCTATGGAAAGGATTATGGATATGCACAAAGATTTAGCTGCAGTATTTTAATCGTCATATTTTTAGTGAAAAATTAGAAACATGTTTCTGAAAATAGTTAAATGTTGATCCATCTATATAATGGAATGCCACTGGGAGAAAAATACTGGCAGGATCTATAGAAAATTATTGAAGTGATTATCTTTGAGTTAATTAAAACTTTTTTGTTTGTTTATGTAGTTTCTGATTTTCTTACAAAGATATGTATGATGTTTATACCAAGAAACATTTATTTGAATTGCCTTGCAACTCTATGGAAGAAAATATGAAAGAAAATTGTGTAATGTTTCATTGAAGTTTTTGTTATACTCACCAAACTTAGATTTTAAAATATTTATTAAAATAATTATTTGCTGGAGGACACAGATAAAAAAATTCAAGTACAGGGTTATTATTCAGTAGGTGGAAATTGAAGGCATATGGTTAAAATTTTTAATTTATGGTATTTCAGAATTAATATAATACTTAAAGCTAAAATTGGATCTTTTAATTTTTGTCTTATTTTTCGTTCTTTTTTTCTCCTTTCAGTTATAAACACAAACATACCTTTTAAATCTCTATTTTATTGTATATTCTTTTTAAATTTTGTGGTAAGAATACTTGCCATGAGTTCTGTCTTTTTAACACCTTTTGAGTATATGATGCAGTACAATTGACTGTAGGTACAACGTGGTACAGCAGATCTCTAGAGCTTATCTTCCTAGCTCAAACGTTATGCCTGCTGATGAATACCTGCCCATTTCTCCCTCCTGCCGGCCCCGGGTAACCACGATTCCAGTCTTTGAGTTTGTGAATTTGACTATTTTCGATACCTCGTATAAGTGGAATCATGAAGTCACTGTCTTTCTCTGTCCGGTTTATTTCACTTAGCTTATCTGCAAACTGCATATCTTCATTGTCCAATAATGCCGGAGTTATTCTTTTTCTTATACATAGTATTATAAATTTAGAAAATTCTTGGACAGTATGGAAATCATTTAAGTATTGTCAAATACATCATTTTTATTGAGGAAAAATAAATGTTCTCAAATAACAGTATTTTAACATTGTTTTCTATTTCATAATTTTTTCAGGCGTAGATGTGCCAGAGATCAATGAGGAAGAGAGCAGAGTTTATAACAATGCTTTGATAAGTTGGCACCATCCAGAAAAGGATAAAGCTGATAGCTATGTCCTTGAATATCGGAAGATTAACAGAGATGAAGAAATGTTGTCTTGGAATGAGACAGAAGTGTGTGGCACAAGTAAAATGATTTCAGAGCTTGATAACAACTGCAACTATGCTTTCAGAGTAAGAGCCTACAAGGGTTCCATCTGTAGTCCTTGCAGCAGAGAATTGATTCTTCATACTCCTCCAGCCCCAGGTATTGTGAATACTGGGAATTAAAAAAGGATGGAATTGGAAGAGACCTTGATAACATATAAGCTGGTCTGTGTCTCCATGCAGCCTACTTTTAAGCCAGCTCTCATTTGTAAAAGATTATAGAAGAGTAGATTCCATTCTCAGCTAGGATTTAGAAATAGACTGAATACTTGAATTTTCACCATGTAGGCTGAGAACAGGATTAGACTTTCGACTGACATCAGTTACAGAAAAACGTGAAAGGAAGACATTTGAATGAGCAGGGCTATTGAGTTAAAATAGCATAAATGCTACCTTACAAGTTTTAAATAGTATAATTCTGTATTTTTTTTAATCAGTTTATTTAAATCTCTGTAACATAGGATCTAGGTAGATTTTTTTTTTAACTTTTTATTAAGATTATGATAGTTTACAACCTTGTGAAATTTCAGTTGTACGTTATTGTTAGTCATGTTGTAGGTGCACCACTTTACCCTTTGTGCCCTCCCCCCACCCTCCCTTTCCTCTAGTAACCACCAATCAGTTCTCTTTGTCTATATGTTTAACTTCCACCTATGAGTGGAGTCATACAGAGTTCATCTTTCACTGTCTGGCTTATTTCACTTAACATAATACCCTCAAGGTCCATCCATGTTGTTGTGAATGGAACGATTTTATCCTTTTTATGGCTGAGTAGTATTCCATTGTATATGTATATATACCATATCTTCTTTATCCAATCATCAGTTGATGGGCACTTAGGTTGCTTCCACATCTTGGCTATTGTAAATAATGCTGCGATGAACATAGGGGTGCAGGGACTTTTGAAATTGCTGATTTCAAGTTCTTTGGATAGAAACCCAGTAGTGGGATGGCTGGGTCGTATGGTATTTCTATTTTCAGTTTTTTTGAGAAATCTCCATACTGTTTTCCATAGTGGCTGCACCAGTTTGCGTTCCCACCAACAGTGTATGAGAGTTCATTTTTCTCCACTACCTCTCCAACATTTGTCACTTTTTGTTTGGTTATTTTTGCCATTCTAACAGGTGTAAGGTGATATCTTAGTGTAGTTTTGATTTGCATTTCCCTGATGATTAGTGATGATGAGCATCTTTTCATGTGTCTATTGGCTATCCGTATATCTTCTTTGGAGAAATGTCTGTTCATGTCCCCTCCCCATTTTTTGATTGGATTGTTTGATTTTTTGTTGTTGAGCTGTATGAGTTCTTTATATATTATGGAGATTAACCCTTTGTCAGATATAGAACTTGTAAATATTTTTTCCCAATTAGTGGGTTGTTTTTTGTTTCAATCTTGTTTTCTTTTGCCTTGAAGAAGCTGTTTAGTCTGATGAAGTCCCATTTGTTTATTCTTTCTATTGTTTCCCTTGTCTGAGGAGTTATGGTGTCCAAAAAGATCCTTTTGATACTGATGTCAGAGAGCGTACTGCCTATATTCTCTTCTAGGAGACTTATTGTTTCAGGTCTAATCTTTGTGTCTTTGATCCATTTTGAGTTTATTTTTGTGAATGGTGAAAAAGAATGGTCAATTTTCATTTTTTTACATGTGGCTGTCCAGTTTTCCCAGCACCATTTGTTGAGAAGACTTTCTTTTTTCCATTGTAGGCCCTTAGCTCCTTTGTTGAAGATTAGCTGTCCATAGATGTGTGGTTTTATCTCTGGGTTTCAATTCTGTTCCATTGATCAGTGCACCTGTTTTTGTACCAGTACCATGCTGTTTTGATTACCGTAGCTTTGCAGTATGCTTTGAAGTCAGGGATTGTGATGCCTGCAGCTTTGTTCTTTTTTCTCAGGATTGCTTTAGCAATTCGGGGTCTTTTGTTGCCCCATATGAATTTTAGGATTCTTTGTTCTATTTTTGTAAAGAATGTCGTTGGGATTCTATTTGGGATAGCGTTGAATCTGTAGATTGCTTTAGGTAGTATGGACATTTTAACTATGTTTATTCTTCCAATCCGTGTGCATGGAATGTCTTTGCATCTCTTTATGTCATCAGTTTCTTTCAGGAAAGTCTTGTAGTTTTCGTTGTATAGGTGTTTCACTTCCTTGGTTAAATTTACCCGAAGGTGTTTTATTCTTTTTGTTGCGATTGTGAATGGGATTGAGTCCTTGAGTTCGTTTTCTGTTAGTTCGTTGTTAGAGAATTGATTTTATACCCTGCAACTTTGCTGTAGCTGTTGATTATTTCTAATAGTTTTCCAATGGATTCTTTGGGGTTTTCTATATATAAGATCATGTCATCTGCAAACAGTGAGAGTTTCACTTCTTCATTGCCTATTTGGATTTCTTTTATTTCTTTTTCCTGCCGAATTGCTCTGGCCAAAACCTCCAGTACTATGTTGAATAAGAGTGGTGAGAGTGGACACCCTTGTCTTGTTCCTGTTCTCAGAGGGATGGCTTTCAGTTTTTGCCCATTGAGTATGATGTTGGCTGTGGGTTTGTCATATATGGCCCTTATTATTTTGAGGTACTTTCCTTCTATACCCATTTTATTGAGAGTTTTTATCATAAATGGATGTTGGATCTTGTCAAATGCTTTCTCTGTATCTATTGAGATGATCATGTGGGGTTTTTTTTCTCATTTTATTAATATAGTGTATCATGTTGTTTGACTTGCAGATGTTGAACCATCCCTGTGTCCCTGGTATAAATCCCACTTGATCATGGTGTATAATCTTTTTAATGTATTGCTGTATTCAGTTTGCCAAAATTTTGTTGAGGATTTTTGCATCTATGTTCATCAGTGATAGTGGCCTGTAGTTTTCCTTCTTTTGTGTTGTTCTTGTCAGGTTTTGGGATCAGGGTGTTGTTGGCTTCATAGAATATGTTAGGGAGTGCTCCATCTTCCTCAGTTTTCTGGAATAGTTTGAGAAGGATAGGTATTAAATCTTCTTTGAATGTTTGGTAGAATTCTCCAGAGAAGCCGTCTGGGCCTGGACTTTTATTTTGGGGGAGGTTTTTGATTACTGTTTCAATTTCTTTACTTGTAATTGGTCTATTCAGATTCTCTATTTCTTCCTGCTTCAGTTTTGGGAGGTTTTAAGAATCTAAGAATTTATCCATTTCTTCTAGGTTGTCCAATTTGTTGGCATATAGTTTTTCATAGTATTCTCTTATGATCTTTTGTATTTCAGTGGTATCCATTGTGATTTCTCCTCTCTCATTTCTAATTTTATTTATTTGAGTCTTCTCTCTTTTTTTCTTAGTGAGTCTGGGTGTTTGTCAATTTTCTTTATTTTTTCAAAGAACCAACTCTTTGTTTCATTGATTCTTTCTACTGCCTTTTTTGTTTCAATTTCGTTTATTTCTGCTCTGATTTTTATTATTTCCCTCCTTCTACTGACTTTGGCCATTGTTTGTTCTTCTTTTTCTAATTCTGTTAGGTGTCGTTTGAGATTGCTTATCTGAAATTTTTCTTGTTTATTGAGGTAGGCCTGTATTGTAATGAATTTCCCTCTTAGGACCACTTTTGCTGCTTCCCAAATGAGTTGGTATGGTGTGTTTTCATTTTCATTTGTCTCCAGATAATATTTGATTTCTTCTTTAATTTCTTCCACAATCCATTGTTTGTTCAGTAGCATGTTGTTTAGTCTCCACATTTTTGCCCCTTTCCCAGCTTTATTCTTGTAGTTGATTTCTAGTTTCATAGCATTATGATCGGAAAAGATGCTTGCTGTTATTTCAGCCCTCTTGAATTTGTTGAGGCTTGCTTTGTTTCCCAAGATATGGTCTATCTTTGAGAATGTTCCATGTGCACTTGAGAAGAATGTGTAACCTGCTGTTTTTGGATGGAGTGTTCTATATATGTCTATTAAGTCCATCTGGTTTAATTTTTCATTTAATTCTATAATTTCCTTGTTGACTTTCTGTCTGGATGATCTATCCATTGGTGTCAATGGGGTGTTAAGGTCCCGTACCGTTATTGTATTGTTGTTGATGCCTCCTTTTAGTTTTTTTTTTTTTATTTATTTATTTTTCCTTTTTCTCCCCAATGCCCCCCGGTACATAGTTGTGTATTCTTCGTTGTGGGTTCTTCTAGTTGTGGCATGTGGGATGCTGCCTCAGCGTGGTCTGATGAGCAGTGCCATGTCTGCGCCCAGGATTCGAACCAACGAAACACTGGGCCGCCTGCAGCGGAGCGCGCGAACTTAACCACTCGGCCACGGGGCCAGCCCCCTCCTTTTAGTTTTGTTAATAGTTGCTTTACATATTTTGGTGCTCCTGTGTTGGGTGTGTATATATTTATAAGTGTTATGTCATCTTGGTGGAGTGTCCCTTTTATCATTATAAACTGCCCCTCTTTGCCTCTCTTTATCTGTTTTGCTTTGAAATCTCCTTTGATATAAGTATGGCAACACCTGCTTTTTATGTTCATTATTAGCTTGGAGTATCACCTTCCATCCCTTCACTCTGAGTCTGTGTTTGTCTTTGGGGCTGAGGTGTGTTTCCTGGAGGCAGCATAGTGTTGGGTCTTGCTCTTTAATCCATCCTGCCACTCTGTGTCTTTTGATTGGAGAGTTCAATCCATTTACATTTAGAGTGATTATTGAAATGTGGGGGCCTAATGCTGCCATTTTATCGCTTGTTTTCCGGTTCTCTTGCATTTCCTTTGTTTCTTGTCACATGATTTTTGGACTACTAATTCAGGTAGGTAGATTTCTATATTGGCTTTCTTCTTATTTGTAATTTGTGTCTTTATTCTTGTTATTTGTTTAGTGGTTACCATGTGGTTTGTATAAAACATCTCATAAATGAGATAGTACATTTTCTGATAGCCTCTTATTTCCTTAGATTAAGCCGTTCCATCCCTTGCCTCTTCCCCTTCTAAGTTGTTATTGTCAGATTTTTTTTTCCTTCTTGTGTTGTGAGTTTGTGGTTAAAATCACAAGATTATATTGATTCTTGGTGTTTCCCTTCCTTTTATCTTTAATGTTATGCTTAGCCTTTGCTAACCTGTTCTGATAGAGAGCTGTAACTTTCTGATTTTGTCTTTCTACTTATCTCCTTAGCTCTGGGTTTTGTAACCCCTTTCCTTTTTTTGATTTTTCAGGTATGAGGGTCTCCCTGAGCATTTCTTGTAGGGGAGGTCTTGTGGCAATGAACTCCCTTAACATTTGTTTATCTGGGAAAGTTTTTATTTCTCCATCATATTTGAAGGATATTTTCGCTGGATAGAGTATTCTTGGCTGCATGTTGTGGTCCTTCAGAGTTTTGAATGTATCATTCCACTGTCTTCTATCCTGTAAGGTATCTGCTGAGAAGTCTGCTGACAGCCTTATGGGGGTTCCTTTGTAGGTTATTTTCTTCTGCCTTGCTGCCCTTAGTATTTTCTCTTTGTCATTGACTTTTGCAAGCTTCACTACACTATATGCCTTGGGGTTGGTCTTTTTACATTGATAAAGTTTGGTCATCTATTAGCTTCTGTCACATGGAATTCCATCTCTCTCCCCACGTTTGGGAAGTTCTCAGCCATTATTTCTTTGAACAGGCTTTTTGCCCACTTCTCCTTCTCTTCTCCCTCTGGGATACCTATAATCCTTATGTTGCATTTCCTAATTGAGTCAGATATTTCTCGGAGAGTTTCTTCATTTCTCGGAGAGTTTCTTCATTCGTATTAAGTAGGGTGACCATTTAGATTTTAGTCTTATTCTCTCTCCTCCTCTATCTGCAGCATTTCTATATTCCTGTCCTCCAAATTGCTGATTCTGTCTTCCATATTATCGACCCTACTGTTCAGAGAGTCCGGATTTTTCTTAATGTCCTCCATTGTGTTCTTCATCTCTAATATTTCTGATTGGTTCTTCTTTATAGTATCAAGCTCTTTTGTGACGTAGCTCCTGAACTTGTTGAGTTGTCCATCTGTATTATCTTTTAACTCACTGAGTTTTTTAATGATGGTAATTTTGAATTCATTGTCATGTAGGTTATAGATTTCAGTGTCTTTGGGATTGTTTTCTGGGTACTTATCATTTTCCTTCTGTTCTGGAGATTTAATATATTTTTTTATACTGCTTTATGGTGTGGATTTGTGCCTCTGCATAGAGATAGAGTTTAGTTACTGCTTCCACTTACTTCTGCTGGAGTGGGGGTGCGGGGTGCATCTGTGTAATCTGCACTGACCAGGATCCCTGTCAGCTGGTGCTGACTGGACCTGGGCCCCTCCTCGTGGTCACAGTGGCCCTGTGGGGTCTCTCGTCAGCTGTGGGGACAATCGCAAGGGGGCCTCAGGTTGCTGGTGCCTACTGTCACAGACCACCTCAACGCACTCCCTCTTTAGGGTCTGCAGTGGTGTTATGGGCTTTCACAGTGGCTGGGAGCAGGTTCACCTAGACTTACAGCTCTGTCACTGTCAGAGCCTGCAAGATCTCACTTGTCTACTTTTGGCCACAGCAGAGCTATGGGTATCTACTGCAGTCTGTGGTTAGCTCACCCACCTGTGCTACTTCTGCCTCAGGGCCTCCCAGCCTTGTGATTGCCAGGCGGGGCCTCTCCACTAACACTGTGTAGAGGCTTTCCCTGCGGCTGCTGTGGGACCGTGGATTTTCCCCCGGGCTAAGGGGCAATCGCAGGGGGCTTAGGTAGGGCTGTAGTCACCTGTTTCCACCTTTGCTCCGCCATGCACGCACACACCTGCCCTTGGTGTCGTGGCGATGCTATGAGCATGTCTGCTGGTAGAAAGTTGCTTGCAGGTACTAGGCCGTCTGGGGGTCGGAGGGTTTTCACCTCTCTCCACCTCCTCCCAGGGGAGTCCATCCACCTTCTGATGTATAGCAGCATGGGTGTCTCAGGCGTCCTGAGATGCTGTGTGGATATCCTTTGTTGACTGATTAATGTCCAATTAGTTGTAATTCGAAGGGGGAGAGACAAAGAAAACTGCTCACTCTGCCATGTTGCTGACGTCACTTCTAGATAGATATTTTAAAAATATGTTGTTATAATAACATGAAATATAATTTTGATTAACCTGATTCTGACTTGTCTGTATTTTCCAACTCAGTGATTCCTGGCACATGGGGATGTAAAAGCATATATTAGAACCACACGGATACCTTTTTCCCCATTCTAGGAGCTCCTCTTGCCCAGCCACCCATCTTCCTCCTTCCAAGTTAAAAACCACTGACATACTACTTGTAGAGGGCCTGTAGATTTATATAGAATAAGAATGACTTACAGGTTAGTTGGTGTTCACTACAGTGTCTCCATGGACAAGGGACGTTTAGAACCAAAGATGTTCTCATTCTGGTTGGCAGGAAGTGCTGCTCTGTTCTGTTAGTCACTGTCTTAGAAGTTCCTTCAGTGGGTGTTTAGACCCCATTGTCCCTGCCCATTTTTAGTGCTTTCTGTATCCATATTTTGTGTGATCTGCCCCTCCTTCCCTTTTTGTCTACTATTTGTTTTTCATGCACATTGTGGCTAATTAAAAAAATTAGGATACAAATAAAGTTGGCTAAAATTATTTTTCTTGAATTTTAATAAAGTCCAATAGAGAGCTTTAGGATAGATTTGCAAGTATTAAGTAAATATTTTATAGTTTACTCAGTTTCTGCTTTTTTTCCTAGTCTCTCTGACTAAGCGGAAGAAAAAGAAACCTGAAAGTAGCTGCTGTTTTGAGTAATGCAGTGGAGGGAGAAGGAGCGAAGGAAAGTTAAAAGTTGTCTTCCTTTTCTCTGAGAGAAGCCATATTCGTATTAAGCACGGTGGCCATTTAGATTTATTTTGCAAACTGGGAGACTTTTGAGATTGAAAGAAAGCATGAATTATCAGGCCAGGACAATAGGCAGTACCAGGAGGAGCGTCAGCCTGTATATGGAGAATGGTAGTTTGCTAGCAGACACTTTGTGTGTGTGTGTGATATAATCTAGTTAAAATTTACCATTTTAACCACTTTTAAGGTGCAGATCAGTGGCATTAAGTACATTCACAATGTCATACAACCGTCACCACTCATGTCTCTAGAACTCTTTCATTTTCTCAGACTGAAACTCTGCCTGTTAAACAATAACTTCACATTCCTCCTCCCCACACAGCCTGGTAACCTCTATGCTACTTTCTACCTCTGTGGATTTGCCTGTTCTAGGTACCTCCTATAAGTGGATTCATATAATCCTTTTGTGACTGGCTTATTTCAATGTTCATCCATGTTGTTGCTTGTATTGGAATTTCCTTCCTTTTTTAGGCTGAATAATATTCTATTGTATGTATTTATGACATTTTCTTTATTCTTTTCTCTATCGATGGACATTTGAGGCATCTGTTTCCAGTTTTGGGGCTAGAAGCCAGCATTATGCTTGATGGAGTTGAGTTGATAGGACTTGTGAGAGGGGTGTTATCTCTGTTCTGTAGTTGAAGACATGAAAGTTTAGGTTAAACTCTAGTTCAGTGCTGGAGCAGGGCTTCCAGCCTGGGTCTCTGCACCACAGCCTGCACCTGTTTTACCCTGTTTCTCATGTCTGCTGTGTTGATTGATAAGGAGGAGACCTTCTTAAACTTGCTGATATTTTCCAACTTTATACAGTTTGGAATAAATATTTAAGAAAATGTATAGGTAATTATGAAAATATACAACCCTTTATTTTAGGGATAAAAGGACAGATCCAATAGTGTAAAATATTTAGGATTAATTTACTGTTTCTATTCTAAGGAACTGCATTCGTCAGTTTTCTTATACATTAAAAATATTTTCTTTTGTCTTTGAGATTTCTGGAGATTTTCGGATAATGAGAATTTGCTGGAAGTTATTTGTAAGTTGAGGTTTTGGTTTGTCTAGGGTATCATGATACATTCCTCTTCACGTCTCTTTTCAGTAATTTCTACTCGAAAAACCTGTCATATTAAACCATGAAGTATAGAAATGCTAATAAATAATTTTCAGACTAATTGTAAGCTCTATTTACAGTTTTCAGTTTCCTCTTTGATGAAAAATGTGGCTATAATAATGAGCACCTCTTGCTGAACCTGAAGAGAGACCGTGTGGAGAGCAGAGCTGGGTTTAACCTTCTGCTGTCTGCAGACCGTATCCAAGTGGGTTACTACACAAGCCTAGACTACATCATTGGAGACACTGGAATTACAAAAGGGAAACACTTCTGGGCCTTCCGTGTGGAACCGTATTCATACCTGGTAAAGGTGGGAGTTGCTTCCAGTGATAAACTACAAGAATGGCTCCGTTCTCCCCGAGATGCTGTTAGTCCAAGGTAGAGTCTTTTATTGATGTAGAACTTGAGAGTTCTTTTAAAGTAAACATCCTTGTTCAGCAAGTTAAGACTGAAAATGGACTTTGGTTTACTTAGGACATTTAGAGTGTACATTTCTTAGATTCAGTTATTGTGGCTCTACATAGTGACTGGCTGAGAAAAGGAGTCAGACCGTCTTGTATTCACACAGTGAATAATGACATTTAGCACTAATTTCTGATGCCATGAGGAAATAAGTCTGTTTTGGATACCTCATGATTGCAATACAGCTTTGCAGTTTTAAATTTTGAAGTCTTTCACATCAGTTACCTTAATTATCTGATTAAAATGACGATTATAGTGAAATGCCTCGATTCCAATACTTCACAGTTGATATTAGTTGTTCTTTTATCATGGGACACAGTTTCTTTAAACTCTCCCATAAGTACTTTACAAAATTGGGTCATTGTAAACATCTTTCCACAGTGAAGAATTCCAGTTTCTTAAGAGAGTGACTATTTAATGGAGATTGTACAGTTTAGTTCTTTTAGATGGTGTAAGGTGAACTCCCCAGACAGACAACTTTTGACCACTTAGGTGAACAGAAATCCCAGATTAACAGTCTGAGTGATAGGAAAAACTTTTTGCGCCAAGATGAGAAATTGAAATAACAATGAAAATTGTAATAGGGAAATGGTTAATTAAGCACAGTGCCATGTCCACTTGACAGATTAATATTAATAATGTTTAAAACATTTCTAGCATGAGAAAGAAGTGAAAAAACCTGTAAAATTGTTGATGTACTATGATCGCCAATATAGAACAAGCAAACTATGCATAGGGAAAACAATGGAAGGAGCTTAGTAGCAAAATTTTCCGCAAGATGCTACTGTCTTATAATAGAGGGGGAAAAAACCCCTTCATATACTGCTTACACTGTAGATCCATGTAGAAATCCCTTCCGGGAAATACGGTTCTTAGGAGGAGGGTGCAATATGCTTTTTTCTTCTGCGTCATTTTGCAGCACCCATTTATTTTACTTGGTCCGCTAATTCCTTGGAATAGGGCACACATCTTGGTTGTGCATTTTCTTATGTGTGATTGTGTGCTGTAAGTATTTAATCTTTGACAAGTGCCTTCAGTCCCTCTCACCCTGCTTTATTTTTGATAGGCCAAAGTTCTTAATTATTTTTTAGGTTCTCATCTGTGTATATATCTGGGTAAAAGTGGATGATATTTTATGATAGAGAATTTGGGGCTGTCTATGGTATAACTCTAAATGGCAACACGTAGTCCTTATGTTTTTGATTGATTATGTTTTAATAGAAAGTTTTTGATGTACAATTTATTTTAATTTGAAATCAATGTCTATTATCTTGTGAAAATGTTTTGAAGGTACATGAAGGCCTGTGGATGATGATATGGATAAGATTCCACTTAGTGTTTGTGTCTTGTGTTTTAGATACGAGCAAGACAGTGGGCATGACAGCGGAAGCGAAGATGCCAGTTTTGATTCTTCGCAGCCCTTTACACTGGTTACCATAGGCATGAAGAAATTTTTTATACCTAAGTCACCTACTTCTTCTAATGAACCTGAAAATAGAGTTCTTCCCATGCCAACAACTATAGGGATTTTCCTTGACTATGATAAAGGCAAAGTGGGCTTCTATGACATGGATCACATGAAATGCCTTTATGAGCGCCAAGTGGACTGTTCGCATACGATGTATCCAGCATTTGCGTTAATGGGCAGTGGAGGAATTCAACTTGAAGAACCCATCACAGCAAAATATCTAGAATACCAAAAGGACATGTAGTTTAAGCATCTGATGTGACTTAGGATGAAGAATGTGAACAAAATAATGCCTTGGTGTTAATCTTTGTAACTAATTACATATCATCCAAGTATTCTGTTGCCAGTCTTGTTTTTTGCGTGTTTCTTCGTAAAACATGGAAACCTAAACAGCCTTGCCTCTTCCATGTCATTGTTCTGCCTTTCATACCCGGCAGGAAAAAGACACTTTCCCAGTTAACACTGAAATAGTTAACTTTGCAACTGGATTGTCTTTCTCTTTTCATGAACAGGAAATCTAATTTATTTATGTCAGCTGGTGTTGCTGGTGCTTACATTCCTTTGTTCTGGGGGGAGGGATACAAAAGTATTTATTATGCTTCTTTTGTGTTTGGTTTTTCATTTTTATATCATGTTTATGTCCTAAGAGAAGATATTTTTTAAATGCCTTATGGATAGAAATTAGTACTAAGCATTGTGTCTTGCATTCATTTTTAATAGGAAAACAAAGATATAGACAGGTAAAAAGAAAAAGGCCATAGAAATGGTAGTATATTTAAATGGAAACATTATGTATTTTCATGTGTGTAGCTAATAGTAAGAGTATATCGCCTGGAAAATGAATACTGCTTTTTTTTTTTTTAAGACCACAAATTGTCTTCTTAAGGACATTTTTAGAAGTTCCCTTAGCTGTGATGCCCATACCTGCATGTGTAGTAAACGTGGTTTCTTGCAGGAAACACTAAATTCTCAGCTAACACATGAAGCTTTTCACTTCATATGATTTTTTTCAGAAAACGTTTTATTCTTAGTTACTCTGTGAGAATGTTTGAGCTTATATCAAATAATTACTTTCATAGATATTAGTGAAGATACACTGACATCTGTCAGACTTGTTCTTTTGCTCTCTCATTGTGTCTTGTGATTTTCATTTTTTGACCCACGTATTACAGATCAGATTGTCCTGGTTAAGGTTTACATGTTTGAAAAGTTCATGATATATTTTTAATGTCATTAAATATATTATAAAATGCAGAGTAACTAACTGGTCAGTTGTCCAGCATTTTCTATTGCTTCTTGTTTGGTAATAAGCGTTGGTAATATAAGCAAGTAAATACGCAAATTTAACTGTTTAGGAATAATTAATAAAATGTAATGACTGTATGTATCCTTGTAAAAGTTAAAAGTTTTTTTTAATTTGAAGAAATACATTTTATCTAAATTTTATGTTCATTTTTAAAAGGTGTTCTTTCTTGGGTGATTTTATTTAAACTGCTTATTTTTTTTTAAGTTAAAATGTTTGGAAACTAGACTGTTATGCCTTTTAAGCACTAATCATTTTGGAATGCTTTTCACGTATTTTAATAGACTAACAAAACTCTTAGGAGTTTTTGTTATTATATATTTTTTAAAATGGAAATCTGTTATTCAGGCTGGTAGCACTAAATTAGCTTTTCCCCCAACCCAAGTAGAAAATATCATGGAGAATTTCTTGTTTAGTAGGCTTTGTTACTTTCCCACCTGTGGGAGTAGCACTTTATGACAGAGGCTGAACTAAACAAATACGCAGTGTTATGTGGATCATTGTGCAATAAAGCTGCTGAAGTCACGTGTGTGGTAAAGTTTGATAGTCTCAAGCCTGTGTAAGCACATATCATGTAGACATTTTAAATATAAAGCTTTAATAGGAATAGGAAAGCTGTTTAAAACATTGTATAGTTGTATATAAATTGTTCTCCTGGATTTCTTTCATTTTTAATAAAAATTAAAAGTAGGTCAAGTGTCATCATTGAAATCTGCATTCCAGGAATTCTCAGTATGTTTATAAGGAAAATGGAAATCTTGTTTAAGAAAAGATGTTTAGCTGAATATATTAACTTAGAGCTAAAGATTTATATAAAGTTATTTGGGGCATTTATTTATAAGCTTTAATTCTTGTGGAAGTGATTAGAAAAGCTTAACGTGAAAATGATTTACTTAAATTAATTGATCGGTTTGTTGAGCATCTCTCTTGTGATCATAGTAGATCAGATTTGATTAGAGGAGTGGTCCTTTAGTTCACATTCACCCTTGGGTTATGGGGCTCTGGTAGATGTGGATCTCAGTGAATTGTTGCTAATGCTCGATAGGTCTTAATTAAAAAAAAAATGAGTAGATTCAAAGGTATGCCTATGATGCTGTATAATAACTTAATTCTCATATTCACAGTTGCTTTCTTGAAAGTGGTAGGAGGCAGAGCGACCCCTGGGAAGTGAACACAATCTGGGCTTTTAAATCTTTGCCATCACCCATCATCTGATTAGGCCCTGAGAGTGTTCCATGTGGGAATATAATGAATCATATTGCCACAGAAAACAATTGAGAACCAGTATGATAGGCAAGAATACGCTACCAGACAGATATGCATTCATTTTAGAGGAGTTTCAGCTGCTTGTTAATGGGAACAACATCCTGAGAATTGGAGCTTTTCTTGGGACTTTTTTGCTTTAAAAAATAAACTTGAAGGAATTTAGTTTTATTAAGCTTGATTTGGAACTACTTCATTCATTTCACAAAAAGTTCTTAACTCCTGTTTATGAGACATTGTGCTGACGCTGGGTAAACAAGACAGCCTAGCTAGGTTCCTGCTTTTAGGAGCTTAATTTCTGGGACAGAGAGATGATAAAAATGGAAGGGACTAGAGAGTGCTTGAGGTGCCAATACCAGATTTTCTGGTCAGGGAAGCCCCTCTGGGGAGGGCGACCTAAGTTTGACACCTGGCCATACAAGGAGCTAAGTGAAGAGCATGCTAGGTAGAGTGAAGAAGTGGTCAGGGTTCTGGCAGGAAATAGAATTCACCCTAGATGGTTCAGCTGAAAAGAAGTTCGTGACAGGATTGCTTAGAGATATGGGCGACCTTAAAGGAAGAAACAAGCGATGGTGAGGCACTGGAAAGGCTAGCCACAGCCTAAAGCCATTATGATCTTTAGAGCATGAGAACAAGGGGAAATATTGTTGCTAGATCTCAGGGAGAGTGAGAACATGAAGGAAGGGCTGCCTGGTGGGAGTTGGGGTTGCCACGGGAAGCAGCTATGGCCAGAGATGTGGTGCCAGGACAGGGGGAGGGAGTCAAAAATATCCTCCACCTGATCTGCTGGTGCTGCTTGTTGACCAAACCCAGCTGGCAGCCAGCCAGCAAGGGCTCTTGAGATGCAGGCAGCAGGGGGAATCTTCCTGGGGCAGAGAAGGGGAAAGTGGGGATCGGGTGGTGGTTGTGGGGTGGCTTAAATGGACAATAACTGGTACAAGTGGGAAGGAGTTTGGGTATTTGAGGGAAAAAAGGGAGGTTATTGGCCATTGTGCTGACTGCTTAAATGAGGGTATTTATAATGTTCTGAAATGTTAAAAATGAAGGGAACTGTCTTGAAGACAGAAGGCTATGCGACTTTTCCCTTTCAGCTTTCTGGTATTTCTCTTCCCTGCTGGCCATTCTATGATGAAATCATCTATGAAACTAATGCAGTTGCTTCTCTTTTGAGTTTGCCGTCTCTTGTCTGAAATCTTCTGTTTGGAATAGGGAAGAATAATTAAGTGCTATGGTTAAGAAAAAACTATGTTTAAAGTTCTGGCTAGACTAATGCCTAAGAATGTAGAATACTGTCAACATGGAAAGAAATTGAAATGTGCCGTACATGAATTATCGACAATAGTCTGACTGACTGTGGCTAATTAAAAAATACCTTCAAATAAAATTCTTCTCTTTTCCCCTAGATTCTTTTGTTAACCTATCTGAACTCAATGGTTTGTTTTTTAAATGCCACCACTGCATGCTTTTAAAAGACCTAAAAATGTTCCTTGGTGTTTATGTTGGCATGTGGTTCAAATGCCATTTGAGTCTAGCCAGATTATATGTTTGCTTCTGGAGATCTGCTTAAGTCCTGATCTCCCAAGACAAGAGTGTTCTAAGAGTAGAGCTAATATCCTTTGGAATAGTATACCTGCCATGTGATCTTAAGACTATTGAAGCAACACTGGTTTTCTAACTTTCTTTCCTAGGTAGGGTGGTGAGTACTGTTAGCTGCTGTAAAAATACTTTATACCTCTTCAAAATAATACCTATAATCTGTATATCTCCAAAATAACAAATGCAGAGTTTATAAAGTCAAATAATAGTAAAAGACATAACAAAACCCGGCAGACTTCCAATCCCCCGCCTCCAGCCTATCCAGCTCGTAAGAGTCAGTGACATTCACTCTTGTTTCTTCTGTATTTGTATCAATGCTGTTCATTTTCTCCTAATAATATTAGGCATTATTTATCAGTATCCTATAATGTTAAATTAGGATTTTAATTCTCTACGTATTATTCCATATTTAGCCAAGTAGGTGTATTATGTCTATATCTCTTGTACAATTTTTTTTTTCTTGGAGTTAATAATTTCCTATTCTGTTACTTGATTTTCTTTGGATTTCCAGCTAAGTTTCCTGGATCTGTCAAAAACTCTATAAAATGCCTCTAATGTGACATTTCTTCAGGTCGAACATGTTTCTGTATTTTTATTTTTCCTGAGGAATCTCTCTTGGAAGTCTTTGTCATCCAGCTCCAATATGGACTGGTTCGTTCCTGGGCCTGATACTCAGCGCTCTTGCGGCTTTCCTTTGCCCTTCTCCCAGCAATACCTCTCCCTCTCTTCTACATTGAATCCCATGTCTTTCTTTTATTGGTTTATGTCCTCAACTTAGTGGAATATTCTCCAGTGCCTTCAGAGAAGGTTCAGGGAAGGAAGAATTTTTGAAATCTTGCATGTTCTAAAATTTCTTTATTCTAAGCTCCCACTTAACAGTTCAGAATGATTTCCCTATTTTTCAAGGCATTGTTCTGTTGTCTCCTAGCACCCAGTCTTACTACTGAAGTATGATGCCATTTTGATTCTTGATTCTTTGGATGTGACCTGTTTTTCCTCTTTGGAAGCTTTTAGTTCCTATTTTTATCTCTGGTGTTTTGAAATTTTATGTTTCTTTGTGTGGGTTATTTTCCCGCATTTCATATTCTGGGCATTTGGTTATTCCCTTCAGTTCTGAGAAGTATTCTTGTATTCTTTCTTTGGTGATTTCTTCCCCTTAATTTCACATCACTAGCTTTTTGAAACTCTCCTACTAGTGACATATTAGACTGCTTCAAGTTCTTATCCTTTGTGGTAGCATCCTGTTCTTGTTTCGTTGATGTCGTATTTTTTTCTTACTACTTTTAGACTTTAAATTATTACTTCTTTGACATTTTCTTTGCTCCCTCTGTTATTTTATTTCTTTGTTTTCCATAGTTTTGTTTCTGCTTTTGATGTCAGGGGATTTTCTCAATAATTGGGCTTTTTTTGGCTGTGTATTTCTATTAAAGACAGGCACTAAAGGCTGAATAATAGCTTTGTGAATAGGGCTTTTTGACTGTTGGACTTCACTATGACTTAATCAAGCCATAAAGTGGCTTTTCTTGGCTTCCCATCACATGATCTGCTGCTCTTTTCTCTGGGGATATTCACGTTTTCTAAAGAAAGACCCTTCAGTCTACTGTCTGCAAAGTGGTCCTCAGGAATTAGGCTTGGAATGAAGGCTGGGGTGACCTCTTCTATGTATTTATTGTCCATGAGTAAGAAACTTTTCCAGTTTTCTTCAGAAACTCTACCTCCTGTCTTTGGAAGTGATTGGTGGTGGTCATAGTGGATCAGGTGGAGAGGAGAGGTGGGAGCGAGGGTAGTCATCTGATAATGTAGAGTAGAGCTGGGAAGCTGGAGGGATGGGGTTTAACTGTTCCTTATTCTGACTTCCAGTCTCTGTTGACTCTACTTTCAGAATATCCACAATCCAATTTCTCCCACCTCCACTGTTCCCACCAACATTCTAAGCTGATCTTTGTGGCAGCTTCCTATCAGATCTCCTTTCCTCAGCCATGTGTTAGTGGATAGCTAAGTTCTATGACTAACAAATCCTGAAACCTTTGGACTTAGCCAAAATTTATTTTTGCTCTCACAAAATCTATTGTAGATCAGTAAAGTCTCTCCTCTACTGGTGATACAGGGATCAGGCTCTTTACATTGTGATGCCAACTTCTTAGCACATTGTTTCTAAATTTACAAGAGCAGAAAAAGAGCATGGAGGAGTCCCAGCAGCTACTCATGCCTCTGTACATCATTTCCAATCATGTTTCATCAGCTAGACTAATTGCATGGTGCTAAATTGGCAGGCATGGAACTATTACCTTCTGAGTGCCCAGGAAGAAGAGAACCAGATATGGCTGGGCACCAACAATTTCTACCTCAAGCCCTTGCACTGTTGCTTTTTCTCAATTAAAAAATTGGAGTGAGCCTTTTAAAAATGTGCACACCTATTCCAGATATTCCTCACCTTTGTCTTTTCTCAGATATCTTCTCAATGAGAATCACTAACCATTTTACTTAAATCGTGCCCCACCCCCACCACCACAACACTATACTCCTCATGTCCTGCTTTATCTGTTTTCCAAAGCACTTATAAATTTCACTTTTGTCTGCATCCTCTAAATTCTAAACTGCACAAGGGCAGGGTTTTTACCCAGTTTTCATCACTGCTGGATCCCGGCTCCTTGAATCTCCAT